AATGAGGTTGCTTGGTGGAGAGCCATATCTAAGAAGAAGGTGTTTGACTCTAAGGAATCGCTTGCTAGCGAGATCATTCACCCGGCTCTTCGTATTCTCCATCGGATTCTTGGCTATACGGTGTTTAGTAAGCAAGATTTTGGGAAGCTTTCAAGGGAGGAGATCTTGGTACTTTGGATGGCTACACGACCGGATTTGGGGCCGAGGTTGAATTTTGGGTATATTTTCATGAATTGTTGTCAATTCATCATCAATGGAAAGAAAACGGGTGAGATTCATTGTGGTGGTATGATTACTAGATTGGTGCATTATTTCAAGCAAGAGCGTTTCTTGAGGTCTTGCACTCCGATTGGAAAGAGTGAAGACATGTTTTTGGATATGAAGCAACTAACACCTTGCGCTTCATTTCTAAGACTAAGGGAAACGGTGGTTACTCTTAGCTAGTGCGTAATGTGCACCATTGTTTGCTCCCAAACCCCGCTGCCACCTTAATTACTCGAGAGGCTAGGATTGTTTGGAGGATTCCCGAGGATAATGGGAGATTTGAGAATATTATGGAGGAGGATGTTGGTGATGAGGACGATGATGATGATGATGGGCATGATGGTGAAGGTGGAGAAGGAGAAGGTGGTGATGAAGAAGAAGTTGAAGAAGAGCAAGAGCAACAACAACAACAATGGCAATTTCAGCATGAACAACAACAACAACCGCGGCAAAGAAGAAGAAGAAGACAACAACATCAACAACAAGACAACCGAGGAGATGCCTATCTCTGTGAGATGGAGGCTATGTGTGAGCATATGGAGCGCATGCAATTGAGCATGCAAGGTATGTATTCAAACCATCAAACTTTGTCTTTTCAAACTAGCGCCCTATATCACGCTAGTGTGCGTTGGGGGGAGGTCACTCCTCCGGTGAACTACCCATATGTGCCGCCCCAATAAAAGGGTCGGTGCCATCTTGGGGTGGTGACAACCTCCCCACGTACCCATATTGGCCCGGGGTTACAAACCGCGATGAGCCAAGGCGTGACTTCCCAGATGAGTCTGGTCATTATGACTACCGGGTCTCGGGGGGAGCGATTATCGGGGTGACCCCGACTACTACTATGTTTACCCCACTCACCCCGAGCTCTATATGCAACCGGAGCCTTTTGACCAATTGTCCACATCTCAACTTGACCTTTTTAAGGGTCGCTATGGGTTCCCTCCCGGTTATACCGAAGGTTGGGATGTGGATGATGGTGGTGCCGGCCCTAGTGGCAAATAGTTTCCCCCTTGGTTGTTTGATTCCCTTTTTGTTTCCTCCCTTTTAGCTTTGCATGTTTTTAAGCATCGCGGTCGATGCCCTTTTTTTGTGCGGGGGGGAGTCAATAAGGATGTTTTAGGGTAGGTTTTGGGGGAGGCACCTTGGACTCTTGGGGATGTGTTTGAAAAGACTTTGATGGATTTCTCTCGCTTCTCTCTTGGTAGTCTCGTTGGTATGTTGTTTATCTTGTTGTTTTGGTTTTGATGATGATGTTTTGTGGTCTCTTTTATTGATGATGATGATGATGGTTTCTCTAGTTCTTTGTACATAGTTTTCGCGTAAGTTTTCTTTTGTTTGCTTTTGTTTGGAAGTTACTAACAATTTCATTTTGTATATAGTCCTTTTATTTTCTTTTTCTCACATTGCTCGTAGCTAATGCTTTGGTCTTCGAAGCTTCTTAGAGGAGGTCGTTCTTGCTCCTTTATTATTGCAGCATAGCTTGGACGCTTGGTGAGGCCTTTCTTGTTTTATCTCTTAACTTTTCTTCCTTTATTTTTCTTGGTTTTCTTAGATTAGGATTAGTTTTAGGAGAGTTGAACGGTTTGAGGATGTATGATTATAACACCTAATGTGTTTGGGGTCTTTGGCGATGTGGCCATTTGACCGCTTGTTTATCGATTGGGAAATACGTGTTATGATTGCATCTTTGTCCTTTTCTTTGTTCTCCTACTTTTCCTTTATCTTTGTTTTCCATATTTTCTTCTCTTTTCTTTTCTCTTCTTTTTGTTCTTGGTTTTATACATAGATTTTTGAGGCTTTATTTTTCACTCTTTCATTTTTTTTTTGACTTGGACTTGTAAATAATGGACTCTTGCTTTTGGATAATAACCTTACTAGGAGGTCATGGTATGCACGGTTTGAGAATACGTTTGGTTGATTCTAGGATAAAGCATTCTAAGGTAGTTGTCTAGAACTAGGGGGATCATGAAGCCAGATTCTACTTGTTTGTGGCATGTTGGTAGTTGCTCCCTATCTTCGATTTGACAACCTTAGTGAGTTTTTGCTACAGCCATGTGAGATTCATACTTTTTCAAGCTTTCAACATATTCTTGTATGAGCGGCGTGGATCCTTGACTTTCGCAAACCTAATCTTGAATCTTAACGTATGATTCCTAGCTAAGACCGAGACCGAACCACCTAGGGAGGACAAAGGCATATTTTTGGGGAGGTATTTTTCCTTTTTCTAGGATAGTGTACTTCTTTTTTACTTTTGGGTTTAGGGATACATTTGCCATCTTGCTAGCCCTTTGAGCCTTTTTCCCTTCTTTTCAAGCCACATTTTTAGATCTTGAGCCTTTTGTTTCATTTTCGTTTTCATCTTTGGGTTTTTGTGAAGCAAATGATCATATTTTAAATATTGTGGTATATAAGTTTGGTTTTTGGTTCAAAATGAAAGCAAGATAGTGTTTTGTGTATATTTTGTGAATAATGGCAATGAATAAAGGAAAAATCCGTCCAAAGTAAAAAAGGCAAGGACAACGCAAGTGCAAAGTTGAAAAAGCCGTCCAAAGTTAAAAGAGGCGAGGACAATGCACTATTAAAGAAAAATGAAAAAAAAGTGAAAAATGCAAAAACTATTTTGATGTGAGTATTCTTCCTTTTTGAGCATTAAGGACAATGCTCCATTCAAGCTTGGGGGGGAAGCGTTCTCACGCTTTTTGTGTATATGTTTGTGATCTTAGCTTTGAATAAGCTTGGGGGTGTTGGTATTTTTGTTTGGTGATTGCTTAGTTATGGTGTAAAAAAATGCGCAATCTTTGCTTCACAATTTAGGTTAACCACCAAATTTTAAATTTAGCCTACCTTAACCCTTTTTGCCTTACGTTACAACCTTTGGGAAGACCTTTTGACCTAGGGGTTGAGTCATTCATCGGTGGAGGGAATCAAGGGTTATAGCCTAAAAAAAGGGGATGCGTAGTCAAGACGTCGAGTAGCCATAAATTTGATCTTTTTCCGGTTCCTTCGTGGAACTTATGATACGCTCACTAAGGGGAGATATGAGATTAGTTGGGGGAACACGGTAAGATCGTTTGGGATGAAAGTGGAGTGTGACAACTAGTTCCTATGTTTAGCATATTTATGTTTCAATCAACCTTAGGTATCTTATAACGTGCATACCATTATTTACTTTAGAAAGGTTGTTATTCATTTGAACTATAGTCACTTTGTAAAGTCCATTTCACAAAGTTTTTTATAGAAATCATTGTCGTTTTTCATTATTTGCTCTTTATTCTTGTATTTTGCCTCATTTTTCCTTCTTTTGTTTGTTTAATAAGAGTTATAGGTTATCTCTAGGAAACCTTTACGAGAGCATCACTCGTCCTCTAGAGCGATCTAGGGGTTTAAATGTCTTTTCTTTTGTTGCTAAAATTGACCGTGATTCCTACGAAAGTTAGTTAGTGTATATTCTCACCTCTTTCTTTTTCTTTTCTTCTTTTGAATAAGCCCTTCTTTTTCCGTTTTAGCCTTTGTTTTGCTCGGGACGAGCAAAAGTCTAGCTTGGGGGAATTTGATGAGTGTCATTTATGGCACTTATAGGGTAGTATTTTAGGATGATTTCATCTCCTTTTTATGCTTTCTTATCTTATTTTTGGTCCTTTTTCCTTTAATTCCTTTCTTTCTTTCCTTGTGTTTTTCGTGTTTTCTTCGTGTTTTCCTTTTATTTGGTTCTTTTTTCCCTTTTATTCCTTTCCGTTGTTTGTTCTTGTAGGTACCTAAGATTTGTCTTTGCAAGGGGATCAAAATGGGCTATATTGACTAAGCAAGGAGGAAGTAATCGGCTTGGAGAGGGCTCAGAGAGGGCTTGGAGAGGGCATCAAGCCCTGCCATTTTGCCGCGGGCGCGGGTACTGAAGGTCGCGGGCGCGGGCTCGTATGCACCAAATTGGCAGATTTCGACCAGGAACTCTCCGCGGGCTCCCCGCGGGCGCGGGTAGTCTGGAGAGCCCGCTCCGTACCAGAGAGACCGCGGCCCTCTGATCACCCTTTGGGAGCAGGGGATTAGCCGCGCTTTTGCCGCGGGCGCGGGTGTTGGCAACAACTAAAATTTGTTTCTACACACAATAATTTTGTTGCTAACTTGACTTGGCAACAAATTGGAAACAAAAATTACTAGTTGCTAAAAGGCCTGTTGCCATGTGGTTTTGGCTACCACTTTTTTAAAAAAAAGCGTTGCTACATTGCATCAATTTATATGTGGTTGCCACAATTGTTGCTATGTCTTGCGTATTCGTTGTCAACTCTAGCAACAATTTTCTAAGTATTGTTGCTACTATTGGTAACGGATTTATGATATTGGCTGCTAATATTGGCAACAAATTTCTAACTATTGTTGCTTATATTGGTAACGGATTTATAATATTGGTTGCTAACAATGAACGTAATATAAATAAGGGTTGCTAGTAATGGCAACAAATTGTTGATATTGGTTCCTGAAAATGGCAACAAAATTATCCCTTTAGTTCTTAACTATTACAATGATATTAGCAACCAAACCATTTTAATTGGTTGCCAAATCTAGCAACAAAATATTATTATTATTATTATTATTATTATTATTATTATTATTATTATTATTATTATTATTATTTTCTATTTTGGTACAACAATTAAAGCAAATAACAAATATTATATTAAAAATAAAATCCAAAGCCAATAAAACAAAAATCATATCTTTAAAATACTTGTACATGAAAGGCTAAACAAAAAGATAATATAGATAAAATAGGCAACGTTAAAAATAAACAACCAAATATATGCTTGTTTACTACTTAGTAAATTATATAGTTTGTAGATAATGAAAATCTATAATTCAGCGAAGCACTGCATTTTGGGTTAGGAATTGAACTTGTTCTTGAATAGCCTTCATAGCAGCTACTGTTTCATTAAGCTTATCTGTTGTTTTATTCAGCTTTGTAGTAGCTTCAACAAGACTTGCCTTTGTCTCTTCAAGTTCTTTTGCTTGTTCTACATTTTTCATATTGAGTTCTTGAACATGGTTTTGCAAATTAGTCACCAACTCATTTCAGGCCTTCGAACTAGGTTCATTCCTTGGTTTCACATAATAATTGTCAATAGCACTTCCGAGACCATATATTCTTCCATTTTTCCATCCACCTAAGGCTTCCAAAAGTACCTCGTCCTCCGTTTTAGGATCTTCACTCTCTAAATTAGAGGCTTTCTTTTTCTGAAAATCAACCTATAAAATAATTAAACAAATGAGGTTAGTATTAGTACTCTCTTATATTCTACACAAGCATAATAACATTCTATTACAAACTTCAATACTTACCTAAACTTTTTGTGTCGTCTCATCCACAAAACCTTTATTCTCTTTAACATGACATTTGCAATACAACTCGGCTGCAGTAGGCACACGTTGTAGTTGTTTCTCCTACTCGTGTCAAGAAAAAAAAAACTCAATTTACCGCAGAAACAGCCTACTAGATGAATTAATTAACCATTGCCGCAGCATTGCAACAATGACAGCGGCAACAACACTACAGCAGCAGCACTGTCGTAGTATTTCAGTAGCAATGTCGTAGTATTGCAGCAGCACTGCCGCAGCATAACAGCACTGCCGCAGCACTACAGCACTGCCGCAGCACTACAGCAGTAGCACTGCCGTAGTATTGCAGCAGCACTGTCGCAGCACAACAGCACTGCCGCAGCACTACAGCAGCACAGCCGCACTGCCACAGCACAGCAGCAGCACTGCCGCAGCAGCACTGCCACAGCACAGCAGCACTGCAACAGCACAGCAGCAACACTGCCGCAGCACTGCAGGAGCACTGTCACTACAACACTGCAGCACTGCCGCATCACAGCAGCAGCAACTGCAGCACTGCCGCAGCATGCAGTAGACTCAGCCCTCAAGCAGACAGCAACAACAATAAACACAACAAACAGGGAAAAATAGCAGGAGAAGGTTAAGAGATTTTGATTGATGATTAAAATAGAAAATAACAACTACAAGATTAATACTACCAATAAAGCTAGAGTCTTGGAGAATCTACTGCTACTACTACTAGACTACAATGAACATTAAAATTGGCATAACAACTCTCTCTCCTTCCCTCCCTTAAATATCAAGCACTCTCACTCAATTTTTGGATGCCCTCTCATAATACAAAACATACTACTTATACTAGAATGATCAAAGTGACCTTAAAGCTTAACATGTGATACTAGACTAAATTAGAATAACATAAATAAGCACAAAGAAACTAGCTTGCTTAATTTTCTTCCTTCCTTCATTCTTAATTAGATTTGTTTTCTACTCAATTAGAATTATCTTGAGGGAGAGGATTGTTCCCTGCTGTTGCTCCTTCTTGACCATGACCGCAGCACAACAGCAACAGCACATCCGCAGCACAGCAGCAGCACCGCCGAAGCAGAGCAGCAGCAGCAACCCTTTGTGACTACCTTATTAAATATTCAACATTCCCAAATGGGCTAACAAATGATTTGGATAAGTAAGGTAAAAAAAGACGGATCCATTATTTCCCGCTAATCAGATCATTCATACCAACAATTGATAGAATACACTACTACTAATTTGGGGATCACAATCCTTTTGTGAATAACTAATGGTTCACTTTTATTCTATCCAAGTCCCTTCTCTACATATGAAATCATTGGTTTCCCAAATTAACCTAACGAGAAATCAACATTACTAATAAAATTAAAATATCAAGTTTTAAATCATTCGGTAAATGACATACCAATTCAATCTTAGTTTGTTCGGTTGATTTAGATCCTTGGCAATGGATTGGCATTTCTTTCCCAGGCCTCTTTCTATTTAACGAATATTGGGTAGACTTCTTTTTGAAGGTATCAGTTGCTCTAATTGCTGCAAGTCGTTTCCTAATGCTTGGGTGACACCATTTAGCGCGATAACCTTTTGTTGTGAACATCTTACTCACCACATTAGAAAGGAGTCTACAACATTTTTGTTGCCATCCTTTCTTTACCATTTTTGCCAACGAAGGATCCCAAGAGAACTTAGCCTTTTGAGCAATGATGCACCACTTGTAAGTGAAATATAATTTATTAAAGGAAAAATTGACTTTGATTTGTTAAAAATTATCATGTTTCATAATGAAAAATACCTTAAAGGCTTTCCACCAAATTGCTTTTGCTTCTTTCAGAACCTTGGCCCAGTTAATCCATGGCCCCATAAAATAAGTCTTATATGAAGTTTCAACAACTTCATCCACAACTTCACAAGAATGAAACCTGTTTCATAAACACTGAAATTAGAAACAGCAAATAAATGTATAAATATAGCAATTCAATTTATTAACTAAGGTTACTCACCATAGTCCCTCTGTTTTGTGCAATACTTGAGAAGCATCTGGATTACCCGTGTCATTAGGAAACTCTACTTCCTCTTCATTTTCATTATAGCCAGAACCATCTGCATCATCATTTTCCATCTCCTCTTGATCCCTATATAGTTCTTCCATATGAGAATTATCATTCATTTCACCATGTGATGGTGTTTGTTCAGAAGAAAGTTGTGATGAAACATTAGGTTGACGCCTAATGATTGGACCCCTCCCATTAAAGCCACCTCTGGTTAGAACCATTTTTGTGTATCTGCACACTATAAAATGAGAAAAGGTAAGGTAATATAGGCACTATAAGAGTTAAAGTTTATAACTAAAAAACTATACTAAAGAAGTAAAATTAACTATATGATATAAATTTCATATAAAATAAACTTTAATTATCAAAATTACAATAACAAGAAATTAAAGTCATTAAAAATATTTGAAAATTAAGATAAACCAAAGAAAAAAGTAAAATGTAAAATATCTAATCTAACATAAACTATTTTCTTCATCTTCCTCTTCATCATCATCATCATCTTCCTCTAATTCCTCCTCCTCCTCCTCCTCCCCCTCTTCCACTTCCTCATATTCATTACAAGACAGCTCTTGGGCTTCTTCCTCACCTACTTCAAATTCAGATAACAAAGGAGGATTTTCAATTGAAACGACTTGGAATGCATTAGGCTCAACGGGCGCATCAATAACTCCTCTTGCCTTAATGTTGAAAACAAACCACCACTGATTTCTTTCATTACTACTACTACTAGGACAAGGAGCATAATATACTTGTTCGGCTTGATATGCCAGTACGAACGGATCATACTTTGGATATCTTTTTGAATGGTTCACCTCAACAAGATTATACTTATCATGTATCCTAATACCAGGTCCAACATCAAACCACTCACACTTAAACAACACCGTTGTATAACGCTTTCTTGCTCCAACATAAGTTAACTCTATTATTTCTTGTAGAATTCCATAATAATCACTTCCTTGGACACTTTTCACACATATACCATAATTCATAGTTGACTTATTTTTTCCATGAGAATAAGTATGAAAATGATAGCCATTGATGTGATAGTGATTAAATTTTCGAACTCTTGTCAGTGGTCCAAACGCTAACGAGCAAACAATGTCATTTTTGATGCCCTTTTCCAATACCTATATTAATCAAACGTTCAAAAAGTCATTACAGTCATATCTAACATGTTAAAATCACTAGTTAATCATATATCTATTTAGTATTTTATATGAGTTAAGTGACTTACATAATCTTTGAACCAATCAGGATATTTGTCTTCATATTTTATCCAAACTTCATATGAACTTTGGCATCTATGTCCTCTAATCATTTGTTCTTCAAACAAACTGTTAATTATATTAGTATATAAACATATAGATATGTTACGAGCAACATGTTATAGTACTTTTACCAAAAGTTACCTTTCATATTGCTGTAGAGTTTCACAATTACTTAGAACATATCGGTGAGCAACTTTGTAATCTTTTTCAACAAGGTAACCTAGTTGACCTTCTGACGAACTATGTCCATAAGTTGAAGAAAACATCTCAGGTAAGTCAGGATTATTGTTCAATTCACTTTCAGCATGTGCACCCAATCCTAAATCCTTCACCTTAGAGTCAACCTCCTCTTCAAAATAAAGGGAGCAAAAATTTGTTACCTCCTCGAGTAGGTAGGCATTACAAATTGAGGCTTCCACTCGCGCTTTATTACCCACTTTCCTCTTTAAATGGTATAAAAACCTATAAAAAAATGCTACGTATCTTCAAATTAATTTTTTTAAAAAAAAGTAAAAGATGAATTTTATATAATTACGTCTCAAAAGGGTACATCCACCTATATTGAACCGGCCCACCAATCTTTGCTTCATAAGGCAAATGAATAGGAAGATGCTCCATACTATTAAAAAAACCAGGCGGAAATATTCTCTCTAATTTGCAAATAATTTCAGGAATATTTTCTTCTAAGCGCACCATGTCAGTAATTTTCAAGGTGGTAGAGCAAAGATCTCTGAAAAATTGGCTCAACTCAGTAATAACATTCCACACATTTAAGGGTAACAAGTCTTTAAATATCGCTGGCAGCAATCGTTGCATAAAAACATGACAATCATGACTTTTCATACCGAATAGCTTACACTCCTTTAAATCAACACGTCTACCTAAATTAGAAGCATATCCATCAGGAAACTTTAATTTCTTCACCCATTCATAAATAAGTTTCCTTTTCTCTTTAGGAAACACAAAAGGAGCATTCGGTTTTAAAGTCCGTTTTTCCCCTTTACTATTAACAACATCTTGCGCCTCTAATTTTCGTCGTTTACAATACTCCCCCAAGTCTCTTCTTGCTTTCACATTGTCTTTAGTTTTACCCTTAACATCCATTACAGTGTGAAACACATTATCAAATACTTTTTTTTCAATGTGCATGACATCAAGATTGTGGCGTATCAAGAGTTTGCTCCAATATGGAAGCTCCCAAAAGACACTTTGCTTTGTCCAATGGTGGAACTCTCCATATCCTTCTGGCTCGTTACCATCACCCCTTATTTTCTCAACAGTTTTTGGAAATAAAGATACTCGATTCCAAATGTCCTCACCACTCATTCGTGGTGGTGGGGAAACATTCTCAACTCTGTCTTTAAAAAAAAGCACTCTTATTTTTTCGAAAAGTATGATCATGGGGTAAAAACTGACGATGACAGTCAAACCAACTTTGTTTCCCACCATTTTTAAGAGTGAAAGCCTTAGTGTTTTCCATACAATATGGGCAAGCTAATCTACCCGCCGTGGTCCATCCTAAAAGCATGCCATAAGCCGGAAAATCACTGATAGTCCAAAGCAATGCAGCCTTCAATTGAAAATTTTGTTTTTGAGAGATGTCGTAAGTTGGTAACCCAACCTCCCATAATTGCTTTAACTCTTCGATAAGAGGTTGCAAGTACACATCGAGATTCCCTTTAGGATTCTTCGGACCTGGAATTATTAGACTTAGAAACATAAAAGGTTTCTTCATGTACAATTCAGGTGGAAGATTATAAGGAGTTAAAATGACGGGCCAACAAGAATATTGTCTTCCTGTCTTTCCAAATGGTGAAAATCCGTCGGTACAAAGACCTAGTCGGACATTTCTAGGCTCGGCAGCAAAAGAAGGGTACTCTTCATCTAGGTGTTTCCACGCCTCTCCATCACTTGGATGAGACATAAGGCCATGAACTCGAGGATTATCTTTATGCCACCTCATCTGCTCCGCGGTAGATCTTGTTGCATATAATCTTTGTAACCGCGGACCTATTGGGAGCTAAATAAGAGAACTATGAGGAGAATTATTGCCACTTTCTCTTAGTGTCTTATAACGACTTCCTTTGCAATATAGACATTCTTTGAGATCTTTATGTTCCTTCCAGAATAACATACATCCATTTGGATATACATGAATCTTTTGGTGTGGATGTTCTAGCCCTTCAAGCAATTTCTTAGTTTTGTAAAAACTATTTGTCATCTTGTTTTCATTTGGCACATGTCTTTCATTAAGGAAGCAACACCATCTATAGCTTTATGTGGAATATTATACTCGCACTTGATGTTTGCCATCCTTGCAGCAGCAGACAATACAGACAACTTGCAGCCATCATACAATGGCTCTTCGGCTGCCTTCAACATGTCAAAGAACTTCTTGTAACTAGCATGTGGCTCTTCTTTAATATTTTCTAAATCGCCTTCTAGTCCAAAGGCATCTAATACCATGTTTCTGTATGGGTTCAATGCATCCTCGGTGGATATGGAGTTGCTACTTTGGGATTCTCTTTGGAAGTGTAGTTCACCATGAAAAACCCATTGGAAATAGTTAGGCAAAAAACCATGCCTATAGAGATGCTCCTTAATGGTATCAAGATCTTGATAAGGAATATTTAGACACTTTGCACATGGACATTTCATCACACCATCTATCACGACATTGTCTTGTGTGGTAGCAAATGTAATAAATTCATTGACCTTTTCAGCAAAGGTTGGACTAAGGAATTTTCCTTCCAACCGTTTATACATCCATGCTCGATCCTCCCTCATTATATTGCAATTTCACTAAAAAATTAATGATACAAAAAGCATAGACAAAGTAAGTAAAGCACTAAGACGAATGACATTCTTTTAGGTCATTTAACTATTTAAGGTCATCAAAATAAAAATTATTGTTACCAATTAACATCATATATACCTTTTCAGCATGATATATACCTTTTCAACATGATATATATCATAAGCACTAAGACGAATGAATTTTTTCAAAATGAAAATTATCGAATCCAAAAAAAATGTTCGATCCATCTCTAAGATCTATTTTAATTCCATTTTGTTGTTACCAATTAACATCATATATACCTTTTCAGCATGATATGTCAAAACCAAAATAAAAATGTGACTTATTATTTAGATATGGAGGCTGCAATTAATTTTACTAGAATTTAGTTTAATTGAAAAATGTGATTTATTATTTAAATACGAAGGTCATACTTGATTTTACTAGGTTTTATGCCGAATGTTGCTAATACTTTGGCACAATATATACCAAACCCAATATATAGTGGACTTATATGAAGAGAAAATAAAAATTAAAACTAGAAGTCTAGAATGTCATATTAACATTTTGTCAACAACGACACCTATATCCAAGTCTGAGCAACATATCCTTCTGCAAATCAAAACTAATTTCCCAATTAAATGAACCAAGTAATATACAATTAATTTGCTAATATGAGTGTGACACCAAGCTGACCTAAATAACATGAGTGTGACACCCAGCTTACCTAAATAACATATCCTTCTACACATCAAAACTAATTTCCCAATTAAACTTTAAGATAACATAGCATAAATAAAGTAAAATCACACTAATATGCTCTTATACTTTGCTCAAAATGCTAAGAAACCCAAAACAAGAATTAGAAATAAAACCTTCTTTACCACAGCTTGTAAAGTACACCCTTCTCAATTCTCATTTCCTCTACATAAACCCATCTACCACTCCAACTCTTTTCATCTAGCACGCACCAGCCAGCCAAGGCTCAGCTTGGTGCGCATGCTAGCCACCATGCTATATCAAATGCCCCTAGCACTCGGTTTGCTTGGGGCATTCCGATGCTAGGGGTATTTTGGTCTTGTTGATTTATTAAATTTTCATGTCTCGTCTTTTACTATTTTTTCGACTCGACTTCTGACGTTCGATTTCGACGCTCTAAGCTCGAATTTCCGAAGTCTAAGTATTTATCACTCGGGCGACGAATTAATTTCTTCCGAATTAATTCGTCGAGTCGGTTCATATATTTGCTAGGGTGTGACCCAAATGGTTCAGTCAAGATTAAGCTGTAATATTAATTATACATTAATATTACTGATCGGAAGCGGCCTCCACACAGGCATTCCGATCACTTGACCTTACTGAATATATTAGCTTTCTAATAATTCTGAACCTGCTATCAAAATAATACACTTGTTCGAAGGACACCATTCCTTTCAGGTAAAATACGCAAATAATTGGCACGCAGGTCGGAAAAGCAAATATTCGGCCATTCGGCCGCATAAAAAGATAACTAAAAGCTTATAGATCAGGGGAGTTTCTCAGCATTGACATTCGCCTTGTCCTCCGACGCCTGCTTCTTTGTCTCTTCATCCTCCCCCTGATCATCCTCCTCGTCCTCAGAAGACGAGTCATCTAAAGAGTCGGACCACTTCTTGGCTTCTTTGGCAACTGCCTCCTTTGCAGCCACCTCCTTAGCTTCCCTCAGGAGTCGGGCATTGAACTCGTCATTTGCCTTATCAAACTGAACCTTCCAAGTTTGGTAATCGGCTGATGGCTGCATAGTTGCCCAGGCCATACGCATGATGGCTTCGTTATCATCCATCATTTGTTTGACCAGGGCCTATTTTTCCTCCTCCATCAAAGACCTATACTAGGTCCTCAGTTGGATTTCTTGGTTCTGCAGCTGCCCTTTGAGTCTCTTGACCATCTCTCTAAGGTTATCTCCCTTCGTTTGCGCCTCCTAGAGGGGCTCCAGCTTCTCCTTGAGGTCCTTGACCTCATCTTGGAGTTCCTTGTAGAGAAGCGCCGATATGGCATCAAGGGTGTCGACTCCTTTGACAGCCGCCTTGTCCTCTATTGGAAAAATTCCGATCGTTTGAGGTTTGAACGGTAGAAGGCAGCAGAGACAACCGGCCTCTTGTGACCAGGAAGCTTCGACATTGCTATGTCTGCATAAAACAGCAATAAGAGTTAGAAACTTAGACAAATAAAAATCAATATTGGTAGCGAAGAAAATAAATTCAAGTGGCCAGCTACCTCTCGGCTTCTCTTACTAAGGCCACAGGGGGAATGTAACTTTGGGGGGTAACCTCCTTGACCCTTGTTTGTTTGTTTATTCTGACAGCCATAGTAAACAGGCCTCGATCTTGTGCCCGCCTAGGAACAGGCGGCAGGGCTTTCTTCCCTGCCAGGGGCAGTTCCTAGATCCAGTAGTTGTACTGCCTATTCCTTTGGAAATCCGGGGAAAAGATTATGTAAAACTTGGACCTCCAGTACTTTCATTTGTTTTCCTTTCCTAGAGTCATCATATAACACCTGTGACTGGTCAGAGTGAACCAGCTGACCCCACTTGCATTTGGAGTCCTGCTCAATTAGTGCATATGAGCAAACGCCTTGAAGCTGGGCTCCACCTTCAGCATCTCACAGGCGGTAACGTAGCCTAGTATGTTTACCCAAGGATGGGGGCTAGTTGCTAGATACCCAGTTGGTATCCGTCCAAAATCCTCTCCACAGTCGGATGGAGAGGGAAGCGCAGCCCTGCCTGGATGGACGCTTCATAGCATCCGAAGCACTAGTCACCATAGCTGGCCATCTCAGGCCAGGTGACTGTGTACTCAGCATCTGACACGAACAGCAGATAACCATGTCCCATGATATGGGTGGAAATAAACTTTCCAAAATCTCCTGTCATCTTTTCCCGCCTGCCTTCGGCGACGTGTAAGTAATAGGGCGCACGTTCATGTCGTCGCGAAGCAGACGGCTCTTCCCATCCCTCTTTCTTATTAACGGAGATTGACTCTCGGGTAGCCTTAAGATTGGATTACGCCTCCTCCGAGTCAATGGAGGCGCTGTCGGAAGATGATGACACAGAGTCATCATTAGAATTTTCCCTAGAGCTGGGGGTCTGCCGGCTGGTGCCAGCAGTGTCTACCCCCATCTCAGCATCCGGTACCAATCCACTCGGCCTAGGGGTTCTATATTCATCATTACACTCTTCTAAAAAAGAGTCGCTTGGGGTACTAATGTTGCCAAGAGGGTCTTTGCTAATCTCGGAGACAAGCGCCCTAATGGAGCCATCCGAGTATACCGTCTGCTTTCCGAATGGTACCAACAATCATTTGTCCTATATCTCCGAGTCATGCTTTGTTCTGCCCATCGTGTCTTGCAGGGGCACAGACACTATCGGATTTGGAGATGTACTCAAAGGGTAATTCTCGAACGAGCATTCGACACTCCTAGTTCTAGATTCAGCCGTCCCCGATGACCGACTGATCGCTAATCTAGGCCGTGCCGAGTGCGTTTGGGAAATCATTTTTGAAAAATAAAAATGCAAAGAAATAAGTAAAGAAAAGATCATGAAGTTACCTTAGAAGAAGGTACTAAGAGGCATTTGGTCTGGAATGTCTGTTGGAACAGGCGGACGAGCTGGCCGAGTGTCGGATGCCGAAGAATTCAAAAGTCTTCAAAAGTCACAAATTCAAATATTCTCCCAAAGATTCACGCAAGTGTGAATCCAAGGGAGGTCAACCCTTCTATTTATAGAGGGGGTAAATGATCTGAGGTAAAAACCCTAGATTCAGGTGAACTATAAAAGTAACTTTTCGGCCAATCAGAGGTCAACACTTGTCGCAGGCTGAAAGGAATGGTGTCCTTCGAACATGTGTATTATTCTGATAGTGGGTTTAGAATTATTAGAAAGTTAATATATTCAGTAAGGTCAAGTGATCAGAATGCCTAGGTGAAGGCCGCTTTCGATCAGTAATATTAATGTATAATTAATATTACAGCTTAATCTTGACTGAACCCTTCGGGTCACACCCAAGCAATTAACAAACCGACTTGACGAATTGATTCGGAAGAAATTAATGATTCGCCTGAGTATTAAATATTTAGACGTCGGAAATTCGAGCTTAGAGTGTCGAAACCGAGCGTCGAAAGTCGAGTAAAAAATAGTAAAAGACGAGACGCGCAAATAATAATAAATCGACAATATTTCCCAAAATACCCCTAGCATCAGAATGCCCCGAGCATCCGAGTGCTAAGGGAATAACGCGTGGCATGGTGGCTAGCATGCGCACCAAGCCGAGCTTAGGCTAGTTGGTGCATGCTAGCGCACCAATGCTAGCAGCCAAGGGCAGCCACGGCCGCAAGTAAGCAGCAGCCCGCACCTGATGTGCGTGGCTTGCTGGCCGCAAGCAGCAGCAGCCTGCACAAGGTGTGTGTGGCTTGCTGGCCGCAAGCAGTAGCAACCCGCATAAGCGTGCAAGGCTTGCTAGCTGCGAGCAGAAGCAGCCTGCATCACCTTGGTGCGGGTAGCTGGGCCGTGGGCTAAGGGGAAGCATGTGAAGGGAGGTTTTAAGTGTGAGGGACATGTGGCACAAGGAGAGAAAGGAGTGGGGAGAAGGTTTGGTCCCCCCCCCTTCTCCAAGTGGTCCTCACTTCCCTTTGCATGTATTAATGACATTTGTAGATTTATTATTAGTTTGCTTATTTATTTTATTTTAACTTTAAAATAAATTGTGGAATTTCATGATCCCACATTGATGGGATAGAATTCCCACTCTCACTCTTCCCTATAAATACCCACTTGGGTTTTTAGGAAGAGTGCTTGAGTAGGAGTTCAGTAGAGCATTGCATTTGCAAAAACTCTTAAACTCATATAATACTCGGGTTTTGGTCGAACCTCGCTAACCTCGAGGTAACGGACCCAAAAGTCGGTAGTTTTTCTTTCGGGTGGGTCTCCGTCGGTGGCTCTCGTGTTTTCGAGGCCAAGCTTTCAAGTAAGAGCCCAATTTATCGGGCGAAGCACGCGACAAAGGTATATTTCCTATATTTCCCTTTTGTGTTTATTTTATGCATTAGTGATATTATTTATTGCGAGCGTGATCCTTGGCTCGGGTTTTTTCCGCGGTGAGTGGGACTCACCAAACCCCAACACAGGCGCCACGTGCCATGCCACGTGACTCTTGTGAGGGCCAAATGATTTGGGGTATTTAATACCCCCAAGTGGACCAATGAGAGAGCGGCACGTGTCCCTCTAGGAGGCGTCCAAATGGACCCTCCAGATGCGTGACACGTGTCACTCATATATGCCCCCTGGAAATGGCAGCCTTCAAGGCCCAAATCCCAAGGGGCCCTTAAAAAACGGCGTGCCCTAATCCCTAGGCCATCAAACCCTAGGGAGGGCACACTTCCCAAGGTCCCTATAAATAGGGACATTCCCCCATTTGTTGGGGCACGTTCCAATCATTACTGATCTGTCACTCTCAAGAAACAGACAACACCTACGCTTGGAATCCGAGCAGATAACTTATTTTCCTCACGTTTTACTCCGAATCCGTACCAACTTAACCTTTGGAGGCGGACCACCGACCATTCGATGCTCCGTTTGTTTTGCAGGTACAAGTGTCCTTGCTGAATCCAGTCTTTGAGTTGTAACTCTCCCAAGGGAAACAAAAATCCCCGAAACACTTAGTTGCTCAAAATCATCATCATCATCCTCCTCAACACACACGTTAAAGTTGAATTTTCACAAACAAGCATCAAAGATAACAATTGGCTTTCTAGATCTCACATCTCCTTCTTTCCACCTCAAGACGTTCCTCACTCTTTTTCATCATCTTCAATTGACTTCTCATTGAATTAAGAATCGACTCCTTACTAGGCCGAACATCATTACTAAGCTCAATATGCCTAATTTAAGTTTCAAAAATAGCAATCAGAGATTCAAAAGGTGTAGAAGGTTGAGGTTCAACAAAAGAAGAAGGAGTGTAATCAAGATTGGAAGAAACAACATTAAAATCATGAGCATATTCATCACATTGGGGAGTGGGGGCACAATCAAGCACATGAGATTCGTTATTAGGGGACAAAGCACATCATAAGAAGACATGGTAAAAAATGAAGAATATTGAAACACACCGTTAGCATCAACTTGAGCATGTACCTCATCATCATGAACAATAGGGGAATTAGAGTTGAAAGCATTCGTTCTCAGTTAAATCATGGGATCATATGATAATTCATTGGAATTCATGCTAATATTAGAAGAATCAAGACATTACACATCGATATTCGAGTCATGATAACCCCTGTTATAGACATCCCAAGCAAACCAAACATAAAAATCCCAAGCATCATCGATTGATAATGCTCTAAATTCACCATTTTACATGCATTCAACTTCATCCCTAGTTTTCTCATTCAAGCCAAAACAACAAATCTCCCAAGCCTCCCAAAGATTACAACAATTATAATTAAGAAATCCCTCAAGTCTATAGTAATATTCACAAAAAGTCTCATTATCATATTGAGAAAATGAGAGACATGCCCTTTTTTAATACAAAACGAAAAAAATCAAAAAAAGAAATGCATAAAAAAAACCAAGACTCAAGCAATAAAAAATACTTAAACATAGACAACGCTCCCCGACAACGACGCCATTTTGATAGGGGGGAAAACTAGGTCGTAGACTAATCCTCCCTAAGCCAAACAAAATTTATAATCACTTAACAAATCTAAATACAAGTATAGAGGTAAGTTAACGGTCGAACCACTAGAATTAGTTATGTTCAAGCGTTTCCAATTATCGCCTAAGCTAAGTCGAAGTCAAAGGTAAAGAAGGTAACACTAATCAACTACCAAAACAAAGAATCAAACATATAAAACACTAGGAATGGGGATCAACAAGTAATCATAAAAATTGCAACAACTTGGGAAGAACATGCAAATCAAAGGTTGTGAATACTAATGATAAGAGCTATCAATTGGAATCGAAGAACTATCTCCTAACCATTATAGTGGTTTCTACAAAAACAAACTAATAGAATTACAAGCAAAACCAATCGACAATTGCAATTCCTAAATCAATGAGTCGTGTCATTAGAAATTACAATGCAATTTAGCAAAATTCTCAAGACCTAATCAAACTACACACATGTAAACTTACATTAATCACTTTAATCTTAACAGTCAATCAACATAATTTCCAAATTAATCACAGTCAATCAATCATATAAGTTTCCCCTAATCCCTAGCAAAACAACTACTCAAGAATCATAATCTGATCAACAAGAAACTAAGGAAATTAAGAATCAACAAAATATGAAGAACAATTCCACTAATCAAGAATCAAACATCAAAATCAAAACAAACATGAAATTAAACAAAGAAATAAAATGAGATAGAGTTGGAAATCCTCATTGATTGATTATGCAGATCTTGAATACAATTTTTACCTTAAATCTTTAATATCTCAAATCACTAGTGAAATCCTTCACTTTCTCTCTCTAAATCTACTCCTAAACTAACCCTAAAGCTAGTTAGAGAAACTCTCAGCTAAGTTAAAATTATGATGAAATTAATTTCTATAAACTTCATACCAAAATTGGTTACAAAAAGGGTATATATAGGAGGCGGGAAATCGAAGCCAAGAAAATTCAAAATCCAGGGAGACGCAGCCGCGCACGGGCTGCGCACCCGCGTAAGTCTGGTTTCCTCGAGTCCAAGTAGCTTCGTGCGTTGCTAATTAATGAGTCTTCGTGTGCGCTCGCAAGGTCTTCATGATAGTCAATAAGCATAGTAGATTCAAATGGACTTGACGATGAGTTCAACATCATGATCTCATGAGAGCGAGGCTTGAGAGCGCAAGAGCTAAAATTTGGAGCATACCACTTTTTCACATCTTGAGCTTTCTCAATGCTATAAGCTTGCTCCAAAGGTATCTTCCAACTTAGTAAGCCACCAATATCAAGACCTGAAACTCGTACAATACCTACAACCACGAAAAGAAGACAATTAAAGGAGAAAACACTAGAAAACCCATAAAATAAGAGATAAAAAGGAAATTAAAGAGAAAATGCATAAAACTAAGCATTTAATAAGAAAGAAAGCTATGAAAAGAAGGAAAAAACAACCTAAAAACTCATCAAATGAGTGCCATTTATGACACTCATCAAGTAAATGGAGGGTTCAACAATGCACTGTGAATTGCTTGCTTTGCAAAGAGGATTGTATGAGCTGGGAGGAAGGTTGTCAACACACTTGGAGATTAGATCATATAGTAATTAAGTTGAGTATTTAAACTTTGCAAAACCCAACGCTAGCTTCGAAGGAAGTAAAGAGCCTAGTCTTAGAGATTGTTAACTTAGGTAATAGTTTATCTTATATTTGCTGCTACTATGTACCTAAAATTGTAGTGGATAGAGCCCATAAGTTAAAAAAATAAAAAATATACTAGCACTCCCTCCGTTTTTAAATATTTGCTCTACTTTTCTTTTCTAACCGTTATTAATTAATACTTGCTCCATTTCTTTATTTCGAAGTTTTTTTTACAATATTTAATTCATTTTCTTTCACCTGGTGGACCCAACATAAATCATATATTATTAATTTCATATTATCTTTTCTCTAGTTCTCTCAATTACTTTTACAATTTTTTATTCTTTCTTCTAACCCACTACATCCATATTTTATTACTTTATCTAATTTCTCCTAAAACTTAAAAACAGAGGGAGCACTAATTTTATATCCTAATAGTATCAATTTCTAACTGTATGAGGGCATTTGGTCTAGTGGTATGATTCTCGCTTTGGGTGCGAGAGGTCCCGAGTTCGATTCTCGGAATGCCCCAACTTTTGCCCTTTTCTACACAATTCTTCTCTGAGTCATATTTCACCTAGTGTAGGCGGGCTTCCATTGAAAGGGTTTTGTTACTGCTTTTGCTTTTCTTTTTTTCTATCATACTCTTATACTAACCACTTTCAATTCTCCTTTTTTTTTTTTTTTTTTTTTTTTTTTTTTAAGAAGAAAAAAGTAGTTGGTATAATTCAACAACCAGTAAGCATGGTATTCGGGCAAGTTGTTATCGGACCTCCAGGATCTGGAAAAACTACCTATTGCAATGGCATGTCTCAATTTCTTCCTCAAATTGGACGGTATTCCTATTTTTCTCTTCTTTTTATTTATTTTTTATTTTATTTGTTATTATGTTAATTTCATTTATTGGGTAAACATATTTTTAATCATTCAAAAATGTAATTTTTTTTTCCCGATTATCTTATGTATTTTGGATACTACGTATTATATTTTCTTTTTGCTCCTGTAACTTTGTTATGTAGCAATTTTATTTATTTATTTAAAGAATATTGATATTATATTACTGAGAACTGTTGCATGAATGATGATGCCAAGATATGTCGAAATTTGCTTAATTAAACCTTATGTTGAGGATTATTTGTTAAATCAATATTTTTAGCTAGGATTATATATGTACTTGTAATTTACTAGTTTTGTTGTCTATATTGTAATGCTATAGTATCTTGTACTTATAATACTCAATCTACTAGTCAATTAAGTTACGCTCTTGGGCCGGATGAGGATGAGGCAGGTTCAGGTTGTACTGGCATATGAATTTGAAAGGTTATGCCCGTTTATGGATACTTATTAATCTATTTGATACTTCTTTTGTGTTGGAATTGAAATCGGTGATATTGGATGGAGCTTGACATCGGCAATCATCCTTCACAATTTTATTTATGTATGACTTGTATTATTAATTTGAAGAGGTACATTACCTCATTATTTAATCAGTGATATTTGAACATTTCATCTTGGGGTTATAATGTGGACTGCAACTTCCACAAGCAATTGGTGCTTGACAGTATCTACTTTGTTGTTGGGATACATTTAGAAGCCTCATGATCAAATCTAACATTATTCCTATCTACGTAATTTAATGACAATTTTCACTCATATATTAGATCAATTTGATATTACCCAATCAAATGTTATTCCATGTCTAGTACCTAAAAACTTTTAGTATGACAATCGGGCTAGTCCTAATATTTTACCATCATTTGCATTTTTTTTCAAGTTTGCTTTCCCTTCTGTTCGTTGGAGTTATTTGCCTAATGTTTACGAGCTTTGGACAAAACTATTTCTTGGTTATTGCCATTCTGGCTCTTAGATGCCCATAAAAGTGACATTTTACTGTTTGCAAATGCAGGAAGGTTGCTATAATCAATTTGGACCCTGCAAATGATGCATTGCCGTATCCTCTTTGACACGTGACCGTTCAATATTTATATTTTTTCTGATCATGGAAGTTATCTTTGTTGTTTTCTTTTGGCTATCATTGATTTTCTTAACATGAGGTTAAGTTATGACTGTGCTGTTAATATTGAGGAATTGGTCAACCTTAGTGATGTGATGAATGAGCATTCACTAGGGCCTAATGGAGGTCAGCTTCCTTCTTATTTGATTTGTTTTTTGGCTTATTTTATGAAGTCTATGTTGAAAATTTTGTATTCAATGAGCTAGGAATGTTCTAGCTACATGGATAACATTTTTAATTTCTACTGATTAGGGTAATGATGAACATAAAGCAGGGCGATCCAATCACTGCTTTTCCTACCAGCTTGTTGATTTATTAAGTATTAGTCACCTTGCACCTTGGATTTTTTGTAATAAAGGGGCGAGGCCGTGAGGGGAGTAAGAAAAATAATCTTGAATGGAGAAGGGAGGTTCGGCTCTGTAGACATTTAACAATGCAGAGTTTAGGCAGCAGCTAAGATGGACCTTGTGGATCTGCTGGGCATTAACACTTGGAGCATACCATCATGCATATGCTTACAAGCAACATGTTTTGTAGTATGCTGGTGGAACATGTACAAGGCCATATAAGAGTGTAGTCTTTTGTGAGCTATGTGCACGGCTAGTAAATTATTCTGCAAGCAACACATTTACAACTTTCAGCAACTTTGTTGACAGTTTCCTATGTACATTGGATAACTAAATAGTAACTAACATAGATCCCTTACTTAAATGGTTTGTATTTAGGAATGAGTGTCAGACTGTTGAAGTAGCATTAGAAAATAGTGATTTTTTAATTGCAATATTCTCCTAGTCCTAGTAGAGCTAGGGATGTCCATAGAGAGCAAATGGGCCATCATTTTATGAACATCAGAAATAGAGTTTATAATCACTTCAGGAAACTGTATTTGGTCTTCAGAGGAAGCTGCTGTAATGCCAAGGGTAATAAACTTGGCAACCATATACATAACGGATATGTATTCGGCCTAAGAAGTGGGAGACCAGTCTTAAGAAAGTTGTTTCTTGTGAGAAATTAAGTATTTGGCTTAAAAACTTGGTAGTGGTCCTAAGATGTAGATGTCTTGTGAGAAAATAAGATGTATTTCAAAGAGAGAATTGTAGCTCAGAGTACTAATAATATGGTGTTGGTTCCAATACTTGGTTAGTAGAGTGGCTTTTCTGCGTGAATGATGTTGCATTTTCCGTAATTAATTATTTATCTAACGATATACTTGCTGATTTGCTCATCCTTTTCTACTACGTATTACTCCTTTCGTTGGTACAAGATTTCCCCAAACCCAAAAATCTCATTTTTAAGATCACAGAGAATATTTGTGCTTATGGTTTGGCACACATATTAATGAGGAGATGGATAGAGAGAGAGCAAGTGGAAAATTTTACCGAATTCGGTATGGGGCAATCTTTTTGGGACATCCTTTTTTAGTATGTGGGGCAATCTTGTAGGGATGAAGGGAGTAGGTTTTGCTGTAATCCCCAAAGATATGGACCCTAATTCATGAATCACATCTTGTGCTGATATGGGTGGTTCCTCATCATTTGGTTTAAGAGAAAGAGTTTCAGCAACAGGCGATTCTAGTTGTCCTTCACCTCTGGTGGCCATTGTGAGAGATCTTTTTCTTCGTCAGTCATTTTTTTTAATGTCTCCCATGGTCTCTTAACCTCTATATTTTCTGTTCAGAGGAAATATCCTCTCTGTTGTTTCCATGGGAGAATATTCGTCTGAGGAATCAAATTTTTTTTTTTTGCTGATATCCGGTTTGACTTGCTTAAGCGCTTCATCGTTCTTTCTATAGGTGGGGTCTTGGACTCTTGAGTGCAATATCTTCATTCTTTTGCATAGCTGTTATTTTCTCTCGATTCTTCATTATTATCTTTTTTACGTATTCTTTTGCATAACTTCTGTATTATCTGTATCAAATATACCTGTCTTTTATGGCTATTACTGAGAACTTGCGGCATTCAAGTTTATAGGGAGAATTATTAGTTTTAAAGTAATGCAGCTCATGTGCTTTTTGCTCACAGCTCCACATTGCGCTTTGCTTCTTTGTAATGCTGTCTCCTTATGTCTTGAGCGTTTTTAAAGTTAAGTTCCAAAGTTAAGGCCATAATTCTCAGAGGTCCTCCCATGTTTATGTTTGTGGTTGAAAATTTTCGTATAAGTATTCATAAGCCACTTTTACTTTCCAAGATCCAAGCTTTCTTAAAGAAGGAAGATCAAGGATATTTACAATTTGAGGTCTTGTGTCTAGAGCTATGAAGGTTTACAATAGGGTCTTTTCTTGTTTGGGAGAGAAGGAAAACAGTCACAAGACGTTATACGTTGAACTCAAGGACATTCCTTGTGGGTGTTCAGTATACTAATGACTACTGAGTGTATAGAAAAGCATGCCTAGGCTCAGAGGCACTAGGTCAAAGGGATGCATTACTTTTTTGAGCTAAGCAAAGTGCATTAGAAGCTGCTTTTTTGAGCTAGGCAAAGTGCATTCAAAGAGGCGCTCCCAATGCACTTGAGGCACACCTGAGATGCACTTGGGGCACACCTATGGTGCTGTTAAGGCACACAAAACTCACCTGAGGTGCACCAGAGGCACACTGCAGTGAGCCAGTGAGCCAGTGAGGAGCATACTGCTTAGGATCAGCAGGAACCCTATCGCCTTAGTGTGCCTTTGTGCATTTTTATACATTGATACTGCCATTTGACATATGCTCCCTCTGGCCCTTCCTTTATTCCTTTTTTATAACTGTCACATCATAGTGCTTGTTGGTTTGACAAATGACAACATTTTAATGTAGGATGTGGAATTTCATGAGAATTGTTAGTCTGGATAGTTTGTTGAGAAAAGCAAAAGTGGAAGAATTGGAAATTTAAGGAAAATAGATTTTCCCAAAAAACATGGTATGAACCAAACATGTTAATTTTTTCTCTAAAATTTGCACGAGAGAGATAACCTCCCATAAAATATAGGATTTTAATTCCTTTGTAAACCAAACAAAGACTTAGAAGGTAGTATGGATGCAGCTATTCATTCTAAACTTTCTGAATGTGCTTAGTCTCTAATATGTAAAGTCATTGACTTGTACAACTATTATGAAGTTCTTACATATTTTTTTAAAGTTGTCTTCATCAGCAGTTTCATTTATTTTGTAGGTCTAGTGTATTGTATGGATTACTTGGAGAAGAATGTTGATTGGCTGGAGTCCAAATTGAAGCCACTTCTTAAAGGTTGTATACTTTTTTCTATTTGCATTGTAAAGGTTTTTCTTTTTTCCATATCTATCTGTATATATTAGCATTTGCTTTAGTGCTTATAATGTTTACTGTTACCTTGCAGATCACTATCTGCTCTTTGATTTTCCTGGCCAAGTTGAGCTATTTTTCTTGCATTCAAGTGCAAAGAATTTTATAATGAAATTAGTGAAGAAATTAAATCTTAGGGTACACTTCATTAAACTAGCATACTAAATTTTCTTTCTGTTCTTTTCTTTTTGGTCATTTATAAGAAGCTTACTTTTCATAAATCTTATGCAGCTGACTGCTGTGCATTTGGTTGATGCCCATCTCTGCAGTGATGCAGGGAAGTATATCAGTGCACTACTGCTATCTTTATCAACAATGCTTCATATGGAACTTCCTCATGTAAATGTTTTCTCTAAAATTGATCTTATTGAAAGCTACGGGAAATTAGGTATTAATTGGAACAACACTCTTATAATTGGCTAACTTACTGGTAGGATTTCCCTTGTTTCTTACTTGCCTTTTGCCTTATTGCAGCTTTTAACCTGGATTTCTACACTGATGCACAAGATTTATCGTATTTGCTACATTGCCTTGATCAAGATCTGCGTGCTGCCAAATATAGGTGCACCAAAGCTATCCTTTGTGAATTATCATTGTCAAAGTGACCATGCACTTCAGAAATGAGATTGAGTTGCTTTTTGTCTTTTATTTTATACTTCCTCCGTTTCTCAATTGATTCATTTTATTCCTTTTTGGGATGTTTCAAAATAGCTGCATCCATCCTATTTTTAGTAAAATTTTATGTGCAAATTTTCTAACGTATCCTCAACTTTATGTGGGACCAAACTCTACCTTTAGTTAAGCCTTAATGGTTAGCAAATGGACAATTTGTCAATTACTCCACCCTCTATCCCGTTTATTGGTTTGTGTGCCATATGCAAAGGATGCATCAATTGAGAAACAGAGGAAGTATTATTTTTTTTGTGCTTAGAAAGTCTGTTGTTTTTTAAACCTCTTTTTTTTTTTTTTTTTAAAAAAAATTATTGTATTGAGTTTTTTCATGAATTTTATTAATGCAAGCGCATCAAATTGAGATCCATGTGTGATCTCCAAATAATTAGGGAGGTCTAGTTTTTTTTTTTTTCTTTTTTTTTTTGCTACACCTAGATTGCTAAAATGTGCTTTTCACTTTTGTATAAGAAGCTAAAAGAGGAAAGTATTAATGAAATATTTTCATTAATTACATCGATCTATACGTGATTTTGTCATACATTCCTAAACTTATACTCAAAAAAGGGAAGAAATTAAATGCTTACCCTTATTTTAATTGTTGAACAATTTCACTCCAATTTGACAAGCTTTTCTACAATTTTAAGTAACTTATGTAAATTTGTAAGAGAAGTCTCATGTTATTGCTCAATTGACCATTAAACCCATTTTATTGACCCATCTTACTCGATAATCAATGATTCTAATAATCAATGTTATTAAAACGGTTTTTTCACCAAATGCCCTTGAACTTTTCAAAAATTCACCAAACATCCTCAAGTTTTTCAAAATTCACCAAATGCCACTGACATTTGTTAATATTCACACTGTGACCTCTGGTGTTAAAGTTCCGTTAGCAATAAAATTTAATTCACCAAATGCCCTATCTTTGTTAAATAATTACACAAAATACCCTTATTTTTGGAAGTACAATGTCTAGTTTGAAATTTAAAAAAACTAACCGTTAGTTTTGATTTTCACCCTTTTTTGCATAAATACTCGATAAATAGCATCTTTCTTATTTGCTTAACCACAAATTTTTAACACCATGAGTTATCAATCTAAATAATCCTCCTCAATGTATGAGTACTTTTGTGTAAGAGTTGCAAACATTCTCTATTCATAAAAAGAAGTGTTGGAGACCTCGCAAACAGAGAAAAAGAGGGCCTAATAAAATAGAGGTGATTACTTACGGGCTTGGACGGAAAACGGATCGGGCTATAGTTCATATTTTGTCCAACGGACTTAATATAGCAAACTCAAGTCCCTTTTATGCGGCTTGACAATTAGTCTATACCCACCCTAGTAAACAATCTGGGCTTGTCCACGGACTAGCTAGCAGACTCAGAAGTTCTTACTACAAATTTTCTCTTACTACAACAAGTTTTGTTTGCAATTCTTACACAAAAATTCTCATACATTGAGGAGGGTGATTTAGATTGATTTCTCAAGGAGTTAAAAAATTGTGGTTAAGCAAATAAAAGGATGTTATGTATCGAGTATTTATGCAAATAAAGGGTGAAAATCAAAACTAACGGCTTGTTTCCTTAAATTTCAAACTAGATGTTGTACACTTGTACTTTTAAAAATAAGGGTATTTTGTGTAATTATTTAACAACGTTAGGGAATTTGGTGAATTAAATTTTATTGCTAACAGAACTTTAACGTCAGGAGTATTTTGAGGTCACAGTGTGAATATTAACAAACGTCAATGGCATTTGGTGAATTTTGAAAAACTTGAGGGTATTTGGTGAAATTTTGAAAAGTTCAAGGGCATTTGGTGAAAAAACCGTTATTAAAATCGCGATTCGGATCGTAGAATCGTACTCCACCTAAACGATGTAAATCGCGGAATCGTTATGCTGTAGAATAATCAGTTAGAATCGGTACCGATTCTGCGATTCTATACCGATTCTACCGTACTACTTCTGCAAAAAAATCTGATTTTTCGAAACCCATAACTTTTGATTTCGAAGTCGGAATTAGGCTTACAATATGTTATTGGAAAGCTCTTGAAGTCTACTTTCTAATAGAATTGGTTTCGTACCTATATCATTTATATAATTTATGTTATAGACTAAATAGTGTAAGGGTGTCATAGTTGAACCTAACTTTAGTCAATGACTTACATATTATTCAATCTAAATCATAATAAAGCTTATGAAACATCAATTTAAATAATTTTTAAGATTCTATCCAACCATTTGAATTTTTTGGGCATAAGAATGTATTCATGAGTCTCATGCACTCAACTTTGGGCATATAAAAAACACTTTTATAACATGAGTTTGTTGTAGTTGTCATTCTTTAGCTATCTCGTTAAATGAACTAACTTGACACATAGTTTTCTATCATTATTGGATTTTTTTTTTTTTTTTTTTTTTTTTTTTTTTTTTTTTTTTTTTTTTAATTATGCATGGGTCTAGGGAAAACAACTTTACGAGTCAACAATGTTATTTTTTTTTTTCATAATTTAACAACTGTTGTGTACTCTATGGTTAAGAATGTGTACCAATAATCCGACTTTATAGTTTATAGTGTATTGTTTGAGTTATGCGCGTGCGAAATTACTTGAAAAACTATTTTATGTTTGTATGTCAATATTATGGTATTAACAATATATATTATTATCATTCTCATTGATATAAAATTATGTATGTAGTCATTTGTTACATTTTGAAGCCCAATTTTACATTTTAGTAGAATCGTATGATTCTACGATTCGATTTTACCGATTCGATTCTACCCCACTCACCGATTCAAAGTAGAATCCCGATTTTGGTAATTGCTTAAATGTTTAAGATAAGCATATTGGCAATGCACCTAAAAAATGGCCTGACCCGACCTGAACCGTTTGGCACCCAAAATCTACCCGAACGAGTCATACATAAAATAATGACCCGATCTGAATTAACCCAATCCAAATGACTCAATTGCTACCTTTAGTGACCATTGCTTGTCCAATTGTCCACCCACAAACATGTGTGTTTCTTCAAATATTTTCATCACCACTCAATACCACATATGAACAAATTATGGCAAATTATGAAGAAGCACATGTTTTTGGGATGAAGTTCAATTACCATGGACATTAGCAAGAGGCTTGCCCTCAAATTACATATATATTAATTTTCATTACTGTCATTTTTTTACTATGATATTACTAACCAACAGGCCACGGTACCACCTACCAACAGTTTAATAGGCCACGATATTACCTACCAACAAGCCTCAATAGTACCTACTAACAGGCAATTTCTGTAATCCTTGTTCTTGAGTTTGAGGCATCCTTGTTCCCTTGATGTTTTTTGGTGCCCATGTTTCTTTGATTTTAATGATTTATATTACTCAAAGTTAGTTTTTCATTGATCTCTCTCACATTGTCATCGAGAGCAATGTTGAATAGTATTAGGCTCTTATGTGGTGACACTTGTGTATTGTTAGCTGCTTAAAGGTATGATACAACCCTTATCAGTAGTGAAATGCTCCATATCTCCGTCCATCTCTCTCCGTGTAATCTTTTGCATATTGCTAATGTTACTAATATAGGCAAGTATCTCCTCCTAGATTCTAAGTATTCCCTTAAAACTAATATCTCCATCCATCCTTCTCCTTGTAATCATATTTGTATGTGGACCTCTATGCAGTTATGCTTTCTTGTAGCTTGTAATAGAGAGATCCCATATGTTAAACAAGTCAAGGTCTCCATCCCCCACCCCCACCCCAAAAAAGAACAGAAATAAATTAATATTTGGGAAGTGCTTCTAAACTTTGATTCTTTGTATTTGTCACCAAAGCTCAAGTCAAAATTAAGTTGTTTATCTGAGACATAGATCAAATTCAGAATACTCCTTTTTAATGCATATATATAGCTCCTAAATTATTGAGAATAGACCCTTCTATGTATATCAGAAGTCCTTCAATGCACCATCGTATCCATGCAAGTTTTCCTGTTATTTAGCCTCTCAAGCTCTTCCTGTAGCTATATATGAGGGGTCGTAGGCCACATGACATAGTGATTATAAGTAACACTAAGCAGTCATGAAGTGGCTCATACTCCCTTTTCAAGCATTTTTTTAAGATATACCACTGTTTGATTGAACTTTTGTTTCAGGCATTTCATATGGATCCAGACTGCAATGATGTCCATTACCCAAGAGGCTGAGAAAGGCTTATAAATTTATGATGGCTCCAAAAATATCTGTGTGACTAGGCATAACAACATTTCTTATTTTCAACAATGATTCTACCTAACCCTGCATGCTAAGAAATGTTGGTATCTTTATCTTACACATTTCCATCTGCTTACTTAAGGTCATAGAATACCATATTGCTTTGTCTTTGCAACTCATCCCCGGCCAAATTCAACTATTATAAGTCTTTTCTTTTCTGGCCAATAAGTCACTAGAGCATATAGGATCTTCCTTTATGTTCAGTTTTACTTTGGGTGTAAGAGTTGGGTAGCTTTTAGTAGCATAATTCAAAGACTCGAAAGGAAACAAGATGTTAACTTAAAAACTTTACAAATCAGTGTCCCTCATTTCTTAATTTCTCAATCTGTAAGCAGGGATTCTTTGCTCAAAGAGCATTTTGCATCATTTCATACCATCTGATCCCCTTCAGAATCATTCTCCTGAAATTAGCAGTCAATAAGTTATGTAATTTGCTTTCAAACTCAAAGATCTTTGGAAGACTTTGTGCAATTTCTTGTCATTACTTTTTCTCCCCTTTAGTGAGGTACACAATAGGAAATAGATGTTTTTGAAAGGAGAACTTTTTTTGTTTGTTCAATTTCCTCAAATGTTTTATTCGTCTTCACCTTGTAATGCACCTGTGTTTGGGGTTTATGCGATAATGCCTGGGATTTACATGTTTGGGCTTTGGAATTCATTTCTAAGTTAGAGGAATTCTCATTTTATGGGGTTTGGTTAACGAAAGGAAAAGTTGATGTGGCACAATGCTTTTATGGCAATTATATGTTGTGTAATTGAAACAAATTCTCGTGTTTTAATCATGAGCTGCTGTGGGACCAAGTCACTTATCTAGTTTCGTTATGGAGGAAGGTGGCGGGAGGCATTTAAGAGTTATGTGTTAGAGGAGCATCAAAGAAATTGGGTTAATTTGTAATTTTTTTGTTTTCTGATTGGACTGTTTGTCCCGGTGCTTTGTTATCCCATTTCCAGCTGTTTTCATATTATCTCTCTTATGTAATGAAATATGTAAGATCCTTGTTTAATATTGAAGGAGCAAAGAATAGCTAGAACATTGTCCTTGTCTGGCAAAGCAGACATTTTTTCCCTTGAGTTCCTAACTACCTATACGCAAACATACTGCAGGAAGCTCACAAAGGAACTATGTGAGGTTGTTGAAGAATTTAGCCTTGTGAATTTCACAACATTGGACATCCAGGCATGCTGTCATTTCCATATGCTTCTTGGATTCATTCCTGTGTTTTGCTTCAGTATTTGATATGTTTTTCAGTGCTTCTGACTTCTTAGGACAAGGAAAGTGTTGGAAACCTTGTTAAATTGATCGACAAGACCAATGGGTACATCTTTGCTGGCATAGATGGAAGTGCAGTGGAGTTCAGCAAACTTGCAGTTCGCCAAGTTGATTGGGATTATTACAGATATCCTTTTTTAACCCTTCGTGGTGTCTTTGTTCTAAATTACTTATTATTTGTGGAATTACCGCTTGTCAAGTCTGATCGCTTGAAATTGAGCTTTTTCATTTCGTTGTTTCCCGTTTAATGTCTATATATATACACATGGAAGGGATCTGCTGAAAACAAGGTATATAGTGAAAACCGAATATAGAAGATCTACACCATCTGATCCCTCGTTATTGTTGCCCTTTAACATTTCATTTGTTCCCCTTTCATGTCAACTACTTTCTCTTTCATTGCTCCTCTGTTATTTATAACCTTTAAATTAATAACCATTCTTCAACGAATTTGCTCCCTTTAGTCTTTATCAATATTGTCAGCTGTCTGGCACTCTCACCTCTCCCCTCAATTCCTTATCTTTTCCTCCATAATCACATAGCTCTTACCCAAACTAGCTTCCCACATTCCTCAATTTATAACTCATGTCTCATTCTCTTTCCAATTCATCCTCAAATCCCCCCATCTTTAGTCACCTACACTCCTGAGTCCTGTTAATCATTGATTCAGATTTCTTTAATTAATGTCATCAAACTAGTATATTTCTAATCGCTTGAGCTCTTTTTTGACAATTCGAGCAATTCTGAGTTATATTACTCAACTGAGATTACTCAGAATCATTAAGGAAAATTGTGTTCTAATTTGAGAGGCTGATGAAACAACATACAATGTTATTAACTTAGAATTATAAACAATTCTTGCAACCCAATCTTGTAATAACATTAATAGATGTGCCGACAGTAATTACTACTTATATCCCTAGAATCATATAATATACCCGTTTAAGTATCAGCATTATCCCTTTAAGACTATCATTACTACTAGGAATTAGATATGTAGTGCTGAGAAAGTCTCTGGTGACTAACTTAGGCAGTTGTTTTTAAAGAAGGGCTCTTTTATAATTTGTCATCATCGCTGTAAATATTATTGTCTGTCTTGGTCATTGCTGTTTGCAATCTTTGCATCATTAATATATGCGTTATTATAAGTAGGGGTTATGGTTTTATCCCCTTTAGCTAGGAATCACAAATATGTGGCGGTAATGCCTCCAAGGTGTCTGCAAGTCTTCAAATACTTTTCATGCTGTTTTGTTTTACTTAACAAAGTATTCCACAGTGGCAGCAGTACAAGAGAAATACATGAAGGATGATGAACCTGATGATGACTCCAATGTGCAGTGAGCTTTGCTGTTTCAGCACATCAGCTGCTGAAATCACCGAGTGTACTTTGAGTGGCAAATTGGTTTTTAATTGCTAGAACCAGACGGTAGAGAAATATATTTTGCATGGCTATGAACACGATGTACCAATTGCATATGTTTGTGATGCATATTAAGCTTTGTGTGTTCAGAGGCTGGCATTTTGCCTTTAGTTGGCACATTTGGTTCAGCTTAGGTTCGCTAGTGTTTGATGATAATTTAAGGTAATACAGAGTACAAAATGAAATTACAAGGTGTTTTTGTTTGCGATCTCGGAAAATCAGTATTGGTATGCAGGAATTTCAACTGAAACCCAAAATTTCAGCAGCACATCAAATTTGACTGTTAATATCTATCTGAGATGCTTATGCATAGGCTGCATCAATTGCTAGAATGGTGGGCAATACAGAAATTGACTATGACATTTGACGTAAGCATGTGAAAATGACCACTTGAATGTACGAGAGTACTCCGTTTAAATTTGTTACTCTTTGTTTCATATTAGAGTGCTAATTTTCATTTTCTTATTAATACGAAGAATATACTAAAACACTCGTGTGACATATTGTTAGATTTGACTCAAGGTGTAGTTTCATAATACTAACACTAGTTTTTGGCCCGTGCAATGTACGGATTAATAAAGTAAGATTTATTAATAACTAGTTTTGTGCCCCAATCCGTGCGATGCCTGAGTTGTTTTTTAAATTTTGAAATAAATTTTTAATCTATATGTCAAATTTCAAAATATATCTTTAATGCGAAATTAGTTAGGAATTGATGTGTTTTTGTAACGATTTAAACTATGTAGTAGGCATGTAAATGACTAGTAATAATATTGGTATTTTATGAGAGTGAGGGATAGCTCAAGTGGTTAGAGCTTCCCTCCCGATTCTAGGAGGTCTTGGGATCAATTCTCACCCTTGTCCTTATGGGCTCTCTAGACACCGAAAAAAATTGGTATTTTTCTTAGAGTTATAATCTAATATTTTTTAAATAAAATTATAATTCAATTTACACATATGAAATATTTTAGAGTTATAATCTAATATTTTTTTTTGAATAAAATTATAATTCAACTTATACCTATGAAATATTGGTATTTTATCAAAAATAAAACTTTCAACTAACAATTTTATTCTAAAATTCTATCCAAATTTGATTGAAACTAATTAATTTATCTTATGAAGTCTATAAGTACATCCAACGTGGCGCGACACTTGGCGAAAAGTTGGAATGTCAAGTGTCGCTGTCTCATGGCCTGACTAAAAGTTTAGCTTTATATATTATTAATTAATATATGATAATAGTCAATTGAAATAGAGTTTATTGAAATTTAAGGATTTATGTAATAATTTTATTTTTTTTCAAATTTGAATTTATTACTATCTATACTTTAAATTCTTATGTGTTGCATATTATAAATGCAAATAAAACTTATTAAAAGAATTTTAATTTTTTAATAGAATTTTTTGAGAACAAAAGATACATATAAGCCAACAAGAGGAGTATATCAGCCAACAAATGAAGTGTATCAACCAACAAATGAAACGTATCAGCCAACAAAAGCAAAGGGTAAGCCAAGAAAATAAACATATTAGCCAACAAAATAAAACATATAAGCTAACAATTAAGATATACACATATCAGCCAATTAAAGTAACATATAATCCAAATGACGTCATATATCTGGCAACAAAAAAAAAACTTAATTTTTTTTTACAAAATATGTATTAGCCAATAAAAGAATACATTAGCCAACAAATGAAATATACCAACCAACACATTAAACGTATTAGCCAACGAGTAAATTATATCATCCAAGTCTCCCACACTAAACAGTTTCTGCGTTTTCTCTGCAGTATATTTTTGGGCGTAAGGATGTACTAAGTGGAATTAAAATGTACAGGGACCTTGACAGGTTGATGTAGATTCATGGATTATCTTCGAGATAAGAACCCCAATGTTGGTTTACTCGACTGTGAGTCAACTCTTAATTTCTGTAGTTCTAGATGGTGGATGCTTCTTTCTACAAATAAAATTTCACAAGGAAAAAGACCCTTGACTAAATTCAACATATATATACGGAGTATATTTTTTTAAAATCATATACCGAGTATAAAGTTGTGCAATTAGCCACATTATTATAATTTAGGATCTCGCATTTAGTTGACATACTCAATTTAGGCATACATATTTAGGAGGGGAGACAGAATAATAAATCAAGTGAAGTATAGTAATAAATGTAGGTGTAAAACTTACCTAAAATGATGACGTCTCAACTAAAATAAACTTGCTAAAAAGAAATACATGTAAAGTTGTAAACTACAAAATGGAGATTGGTATTATTTCCTCTGTCCCCTTTTGATAGTCCCTTATGGGCATTTTTCACGAGAATTAATAAATACAAATAAAAATAGTTAAAGTACATTGAAAATGTAATTGACATTGGATATGCAAAGAAGTAGAGAGAGAAAGTAATAAAAGTACGTGATAAAACAAAATTTACATAGAAAAGTTAAATTTGCACAAATATTGTTGCAAATTGGTGGGAATTTTGATAAAAAAAATTAATATTAATGGTTGTTAGAAAAGGCAATTTGTTCATAAGGGACGGAAAGAGTATAATTTTCTTTTAAAAAAAAAAAAAACTCTAATTACAATTAACTTGACAGAAGAGCCCGTAAAATGCCGAGATCTCCTCACTAGAATATACAAAAGTCCAAGGTTTAAAACTTTGGATTAGGGTTATTATACAAGTAATTTACATCAGCCTCCATATTTGAAAGGTATATAACTATATACAACACGTAAACAAGAATCAGTGTTATCAAAATACAAGAGAACATTAAACAGAGTCCTCTTCAACCCTCAGTTCATCCTCTATCCTTATCTTTTCTAAGTAATTTACAGAGAAATACAGAGATTCATATCCCAAATAGAGTTCAGCTTCCTAAACTCAACATAAATTAAATTAAGAAACAAAATCAAGATTTTCAAACAATATGAACAGCACTAACAAAATGTACAACTTAAAGCAGCCATGATTAGAATTAGACTAGAATTAGTCAAATGTAAGAACTTTCAAATGCCGGTTTCGATGTTAAGTTCTTCCATTAGATGTTTTGTTAAAGGATTTTGTGCCTTTCATTTGTCATAAGTGTCTTATGACTTAGCCTTCGAATCGTGTAGTCTTTCTTCGAAACTTTCGAGTTGGTTGGAGAAACAGAAGTTTTTGACATGGTAGGAATAACATACCATCCAATTGAAGTGCACATAATTGCAAATGATCTCCCAAATAATACCAAGAACACCAAGATTAATATAACAACCATTAATAATATCAATTTGGGTTCTTTCCATTGTTCAATCCTTATTTTTTTGATACATCCCATTTTCTTTTTCTTCATGTTAATCTCATTTTCAGCTTTATTTTCTTCTCTGACATTCAATGATTTTGAAGATTGCAGCTTCCTTAGATGAGCTGTCTTTAAATCAGTATCAGATTTTGGTTGTTCGACTACTCGATCAGGAGAAGCCTTGTGCTTAGCCTTGACTACAATGGGCTTGAAATCATGATCGCCCGAGTAGGAGAAACGAACAAGGGAGATTTCATCAGGGTCAACCTGTGAGTAGATTTGCTGTCTTTTTTCTTCAATTTCTGCTAGAAGAGCTGTAAACTTGTCTAGCCCTCGGCTCGAATACGGGTTCTTGTTGCTGCTGCTCTTGGATCTTGATCGCCTAGGTGAAGAATCCGCGCTTCGAGTTTGTCGTTCATATTCATCGTCTTCACGCGGGAAACTATGAGTACCACAAATGAAGCCACTCACCATTTTTTTTTGAGGAAATGAGTTTAAGTTTGATGAAGTAATAATTATAATAAAACAGAGAATTTTGGTTGGTTTGATGACAAAGGCAAAAAGGAAAATAAACATTTTGGTATTTAAACAAGAAAATGAGGGTATTAAATTAATTGAGTGTTGTTGGATGAGGATTGGAAGGAAATAGTCAAATAACATGAACTTTGAAATGGATGAAACTCCAAATAGAAACTTCTACTCTAAATAATATAGTATTAATAATATTGATTGAGATGGTATGTTCATTGACTTTCTTGAGGAACAAATCTAGAAAATTATATCATGCATGTGACATACTTAATACATTGTTTGTGATCTTATTCTCACTACAATCCTTAGATGGAGAGACTTTTATGAAATATAAGTACATATCATTTGTTAGAGATAAAGTTGTCAAAAGCACATCCGATTCGATCCGATTCGAAACTGACTTGAAAAATATTAGATTTAAACTCGTGTGGATATAATAAATTGGTATCACTTAATTTTAAAAATTGTCCCGACCCGATCCGATCATATCAGACTCGATCCGAATATCCAAATTGATACCTCTAGTTAGGGATTATTTTATTGTATATCAAATTATGTCAAGGTGGTTATAGACTTGTAGTGTGTACAACATACGTAACAAGCTGTTCATTGTAAGCTCTTCAAAATGAGCAAAATGAGACATGATTAATGTATGTAATAAGAGCACATGTTTCTTTGTTGTATAAATGTACAACTATAACATGACATATTGATAAATAAATTAACTTTAGTAAGCAAAGAGAGTGGGAAATGGAGGAAAATACATAATAATACAATAGTTTTTATAACAAGTAAAGGCCCTACTTAATTGCAAAAGGAATGATATATATATAAAGGGGAGTTTTTTCCCGATTTTTTAGAGAGTCACGTATAATTTAATTTTTTCAGTGCGCCACGTAGGATAATAAATTTTATTGGTAGCCAATTAAATACGAGATTATTAATTTCTTTTAGAATTAAATAATTTAAATGACAGGTAAGCAAAAGTGACGAATGAGATTTTCCAGTTTAAATTAATTAAATATAAAATATTATCTTTTGATATCAGTAATTTTATCTAAATATATAACAATTTTTAGCACATAAATATATATATATAAAAAAATTATTTTAAAAAAATTTAAACAAACCGTGCATCGCATGGGATTCACCTAGTATAAACTAATGTGGAGTACATTAAAACATGACCATGTCTCATGTGAGATCTTATTAAACTCGTCTTTGTTGTTTATAATTAACTTACATTGAACAATAATACGTACCTAAAGTATCTGTAATTACAATATTGCATAAAAAATTGTACTGTCTGTACACAATTTCAAAAAAAGAAGGGTCACACAAAAACAAATGTACAAAGAAAATGTGTCACTTAAAAACGGATGGTGTATTTAGAGGTGTCAATTCGGATAATCGGATGGAGTTTGGGTCGGGTCTATTCGGATCGGATATGTTTGGATCAAAATTATCCTTTTAACTCAGATCGGGTGGGATCGGGTCAAATTCGGGTCGGGCCAAATTCTGGTCATGGTCTATCGAGTTCGGGTCGGATACAGGTCGGGTGAAATTCAGATCGATTCACTTTCGGTTCGGATATATTTGGATCGGGTTTAAAACGGGTTTAGTCGGGTAACTTTGGGTCGGATGAATTTTGGTCGGGTTGATTTCGGTTCGATGATTTTGGTTCGGTCAAGTTCGGTTCAATTCCTTTTTGTGTTTGGATGGATTTTGGTCGAGTTGACCAAATTCATATTTATATAAGGTTATTTTTAAACTAGAGATATTGTTTAGTTTTTACCTTATTATTGGGTCAATATGATTATTAATTACGAAGCACGAAGTTTTAGTTTTCTCATTTGATCAAGTTATGTGTAATTTTTATCTTTGAGGAAAATTGAGATTGAATAATTATCGATGACTTATCATACCTATATAAGTGAGAAGTGAGACCGAGCTAGTGATATATTGACGAATAATAGTTACATATGGTGATATATACAAAAAAAGTATGTCATTTTTTTTAGGTTATTACAAGTTTACAACTCTTCATCAATTGTACAATCATATGAGGCTATGAGTTCTGTACTATTAGTTTAGTTTATTACTGATTCAATTTTTTAAAGATATTTGTTAGAGTTGTTAGAATTACTGATTCAATTTTTTAAAGACTTTGTTCATTTTCTTTTACAGGTCATTTGGATTCAAGTGATTATTTTCCATCTAAATGAGCATGGAGCTGTTTAAAATCTCATGCCTTGTATTTTTTTGTGAAGTCAAGAATTTTTTTTGGAAGTGCAAGGGTTTTGTTATTTTTGAGGAAGGCGTACCCATAACATATTATTGGAGTCTAAACATTGCAATGATATTATATGCAGCGTATTTTGTATATGAAAATGAAACTACTGAAAAATTCCTAAGTTTGAATCATTGGATTATGTATATGTAATATATTTAATTATTATAATGAAAATGTAAGCGCTTGATATATCCTTTAAAACTTTATTTATTTTGCTTTCATAATTGTTTCTTATAGGTTGCATCAGACTAGTAGTAATGTGATTTATATTGATATAATTGGTTGTAGGTGTTAGAGAAAAGAATTATTAGTTCAGAAAATATAATAGAATGGGAGGAAATTCATTAAAAATGACAATAGGCTTTAGGTAGCATTTAACTAGAGCTTTACAAGCAAATCAATTAACTCCCGCTTAATGTTTAGGTTTATTAGATCTTGTGGCATTTATTAAAGCTTAGAAAGTAAATTAATATAATTGATATGTACATGAAGTAAACTTAAGACTCCAGATTATTTCTTTGTAGTCAAAAAGTTAACTTATTAATAATTAGTAAATATATAGTATAAGAACTTGAATAAAAAAGTAAATAATTATTATGGCCGGGTTAAATTCGGATCGGGTAAAAATCAAATCGAGTTAAAATCGGATCGGGTTAATATCAATTCGGGTCAAAACAGATCGGTTATTTTTCGGGTCAATTTCAGATCGGGTTGAGCTCGGGTCGGGTCAAATCGGTTCGGTTTTAGTTCAGGTCGGGTCAAATCGAATTCGGGTTGAGTTCAGGTCGGATCAAATCGGTGCCGGGTTAAGTTCAGATCGGGTCAAGTTTGGATTCGGGTTGAGTTCAGTTCGGTTACAGATCGGGTTTGGGTCTTGAATTTCTCGGATCAAATCGGTTCGGTTACAGTTCGAAACGGATAATTTTTTCGGGTCGGTTCGGTTTTGACACCTTTAGGTATATTAGGTTGTTACAATATATATAATTATACTCCGTCCGTCACTAAACTACATTCCTATTTTTTCTCTATTATGTGAATGTTAGAAGTAGGAATGTAATTTAGGGACGGAGGGAGTATCATTTTATCAACTTTTATGATTATAACTAATAGACACTTAAAATTATTAATGATCGAAGTTATATGTTGACAAATATTTCTAATGAAATTGATGTCACATATTAAGAGAAGGTTTTTAACAAAATACAAAGTTGGTTGTATAATTCAAATCTTCAGGTTCTTGATCTAGGAAGAGAGAGGTAATGACTGGAGGATTACGCTGTTTCAAATTTCAACATCCAATCAAAGGTATAAAAATTGGGCTATAAAATATGCGATGATGCATGATTAACTTGGTCAAGAGTCAAGAAATTCCAAAATTTCCAATTATTTAAACAAGGAAGTCAGGCGACCCTATCCGCTTTATTTGGTCAACCTCATTATCATTTCTAAATTTTAAATGCGGTATGCCACTTGATGAATTTTAAATAAATAATTAATGTTAAAAAAAGTAAAAGTACATCAATGACTACATGAATGACTAGATTTAATCTAGTCATTAATATATATATATATATATATATATATATATATATATATATATATATATATATATATATATATATATATTACTTTTATCTATTATCTCCGTTAACAGTTATTTGCAACAAAGGGGTAACACAAATTCTTAGGCAAATTTTTTTTTAAAGATGATTATTGAAATACTTTTGTCCCAATGCACATGATTGACATTAATCTTTTATTAAATATTAATATACATTATAAATAAATTATATTTAAAAAACTATACATTAAAATAGACGTGACAACATCTTACATGATTACATTAACTTTCATATAATAGTTAAAAAAAGTGTTCAAAGGGAGACGTGTGAATAATGCAAGAAGTCAAACCGTTGCGAATAATTTGGGACGGAGAGAGTATAATGGTATCACTTAAGTATTAATCCAATCATTAAACAAAAAAACCTAAAACCACTACCGCAACCAAACCCAAAACCCAGAATCACCCCTACCATCGAAAACCACCACCATCGAACCCACCGAAACCACCACCACCGAAAACCATCAACACCCACAAATCGACCAAAAACCACCACCAAAACCCACCGAAAACCACCGCCAAAACCACGAAAGCCCTAATCAAATCACCACCACCACGAATTGGATTAATACCAATTAAACCACCACCCAAAACACCAACACCCACAAAATGCCCAGAACATGAACACCCATGAACACCCATGAACTGCCCAGAACACCAACAATCACCCATGAACCCTCAACAACTACCCACGAACTAGAAAAACCGCCCACAAACTACAAAAACCACCGGATCTACCGAAGCCACCCACAAACCATTACAACCATCCACGAACCAAATGAGAAATATAGAAGGAGATGTTAAATGAGAGATGAGAAATGAAGAAGGAGATGAGAGATAAAGAAGGAAAAAGATGATGAAGTGAGGGATGAAGATGGAGGAGAGAGATGGTGGATCGGTGAGGAGATGAAGATGAATCAAATTTTTTTGGGGGGAAAAGCTAAGATATTTAATAGATTAGGATTATAATTTAATAAGTTGTAATTATGTGTAGTAATATGTGTTAATAATTTTTAAATGAGGGTATTTGGGTCATTTTACTAGAAAAAGTTACCATATTAGAAAAGAAATAATTTTGTTGCAAATAATAGTCAGCACCCTTTTTGGATCTTTTACCAAAATGACTACTTTTATAAAACTATTTACCAAAATGGCTATTTATCAATATTAACTAGCCTTTTGGCCCATTCGATGCACGGGTTCTTATCTAGGTTATTTCATATGTAGGTATGTTTTTCAATATTTGAAACTTTTGATATGAAATACGAAGTAATTGTTTCATTGCTAAAACTTAAAAGGAAAAAAAGAATGAGGATAGAACTGTGGAAAAAGATAAAGGAATTTAGATACGTATATATATATGAAGATTGTAGGATATGAAATGACATATTGGTTTAAGTTATATTTTAAGTCTATTAGTTGAAAAGACAAATTTTATATAATTCAATTCATATGTTTATGTGATGTATATTAATTGGTTCAACTTTATTTTATTATGATGGAAATGAAACACTTTATTTTCTTAATTGAATTTGCAAGTTATAGAATGTATAAAGACTTAAACAAAAAGATCAAAAGGGGTGACATGTGTCATATGTGGTAGTGAGTGACTTGTAATGACATGTGTCATATGAAAAATTATTGTTTGTGTTTTTAAATACTAAGTATAGATTCCAAAACTAGCTAACTTATATATTTGGAAGGAAATTATTTATTTCTTATTTTCCTTTGAACTAGTTTGGTTCATTTATGGGTTTTTTTAAAGGAATTTTTTTTGGGGTGGGGGGGATTCTAATGCCGTAATTTAAGATATCCAATGATGAGAGGGTAGCTAGCTTGTTTTTCGTAGGGTGTGCTTTTGTTTTCTGTGTTTGTTTGTTTTAATTTCTGTTAGTGTGTTTTTCTTTTGTTAGGGGCTCTCCCTTGTTTTGCACAAAAAAAAATATATCCCTTCCCATTAATTTGAAAAATAACATTAAACATAATATATTTGCAACAATTCTCTAGAGACTTTACTTTGTTAAGAGGTGCAAGAATCAACATTTTAAAAAAAAAAACAATTGAGAACATATTCATTGTTTGCCATTATATTCACATAATTATGTGTAAATTTGATTTATTGTACATTTGTACACATTAAACTCAAAAATATTCAAAGTAGCTAACATTAACAGAAAGTATAAAATGAATAGGCATGAAAAAAGATGAACAATACCTTAAAAACCCTTATCGTTGTATAAATTTGCGGTAGTGTTGATAGAACAATACTACTTGAAATTCCAAATTTAAATGGTACGATCTAGATGGAAAAATTAGTATATTTGTACTCCGTATATCGTTAAATTTTTCAACTTACAAAAATTCCTTAAAACAAACTTAAAATAAAACCAAAAAACTAAATTAAAAGAAAAAAAAATAAAGTGAACCCTAAACAAAAACCGGTGCAAATTAAGGAAAAAGAAATAGCTAATTTACTTCCAAGTCAATAATTTAGCTAGTTTTGGAATTAAAATTCATAATTAGCCGTTTTAGTAAATAATTTTGTCAAATTAGCCGTTTTGGTAAAAGATCCACCCTTTTTTGATAAATGTTGTAAATAACTATTAACGAAGGTAGTATTTGATCAGGCGGTTGAGCGCTATATAAATACATTGATGCATGTTTCCTAAAATCAAGAAGCATGACATAGTGGGGCTTAAGGGTTACCAAGTAGTTGCAGGGCCATCTTAAATATTTTTGGGGCCCTTTTCTAACCTAAGTAATTGGGCCCTAATTAAAACAAAAATATTTGTACACAAAATTAATCAATTATGTAGTACCCAAACTACCTATTTCATAATTATTGCTTTGAGCCTTTGAATTTCTACCTTAAAAATAGTAAATTGACAATAATAAGCTCAATCCCATTTGCATGTACCCGGTGTACAGTATTTTTACTGTACATCGGGTTTTTTGCACGTGCAACCCATTTACTGTTTTTTTTTTTTTTTTTAAATCGCGGAATTTCAAAATCGCGGAATTTCATACCTAAAAATCAAAAAAACGCAGAACAACAATGGAGGAGAGAGAAAGTGAGAAAACGCAGCTATAGATCATCCATTGAGGAGAGAGAAAGTGAGAAATCGCAAAAATTGCAGAAAACGATCATCAATCGAGGAGAAAAAAGGTTAGAAAACGCAAAAATTGCAGAAATCGATCATCAATCGAGGAGAAAATAGGTGAGAAAACGTACAAATAGAAGAATTCGATCATCAATTAAGGACAAAGAAAGTGAGAAAACTTACAAATTGCAGAATTCGATCATCAATGGAGAATTCGACTTTCGATACAACAAATTGCAGCAATCTCATTCACGAATTGCTACAAAAACAGAGGCAAATTGAGACTGAATTTGAAATCGATTTAAATCGATCGATTATAGAAGAAGAAGAAACTAATTGTTTTGGAGATGAATTTGTACCAATATTCAACAATCCAGACAATGCAGATGAAACAATCGATAATGCAGATGAAGCAATTGAGAATGCAGAAGACGCAATTCACAATGCAGAAAATCAAGTGGTTCCTGATAAATCAATTGATTCAAATTCAGAACAAACAACCAAATCAAATGCAACTGAAGGTAATTTCTATAAATTTTTGAGATTGTAAGCAAAAAGTAACCCTTTGAATACATAATTGTTACCCTTTTCATGCATAAACGTGACCGTACTTATGCCTAAATGTTACTTTCAGATTGAATGCAGAACTTTTTAGATTGCATGTAAAAAGTAACCCTTTGAATGCCTAAATGTTACCCTTTTCATGCTTAAAAGTGACCCTATTTATGCACAAATGTTACACTCAGATTGTATGCTGAAAATTCAGATTGTATGCAAAGAGTAACCCTTTGAATGCCTAAATGTTACCTTTTTCATGCATAAAAGTTACCCTATTTTCAAACGAATGTTACCCTTTTTTTATGCTGCATGTGGTTATTATCTGATTTGTTTGTATTAAATAACAGATACAAATCCAATTGATGCTTCTGGTTTAGATCTTAGAGGATCATTTGTTGGTGTGGTAAGAGAAACTTTTGAAGAAATTTTGGAATTGTATGAAAAACATGCTGCTATACTGGGGTTTTCAATAAGAAAACATACAACTAGATTCAAACAACACACAAAAATAGTAACTGAGAAAAACTATGTGTGTTCTGCTGAGGGAAAGAGACATTCAGGTCAGAAGAAAACAAAGTTAGTTTAAATGGTTGATGAAGAGGATGTAAATGTAAAAACAAGAAAGCCAAGACAAGTATCCATTACAAGATCGAATTGCAAGGCATGCATAAGAGCAAAAGTGAATAAAGAAGGACAGTTTGAGGTTGTGGCTCATGTTATTCAGCATAACCACGAGCTAACAAAGCCACAGTGGCATTATTTGCATCGTTCTGAAAGAAAAATGACAGAGGAAAAAGCTGAAGCAATCAAAACAATGAAATCTTCAGGTCTAACTACAATGGACACTAACAATTACATGGCTACAGAGGCTGGAGGAGAACAGAATGTAGGCCATAGTGTTGTAGATCACCTGAATTTCTGCTCAAGGTTAAGAATGGAACAAATTAAGGCTGGAGATGCTCAAACTTTAGTGAACATTTTAAGCCAGGAACAATCAGAGGATCCAAACTTGTTTTTTAGAGTGAAGTTTGACAAAGAAGGAAGAATTTGCAATATCTTTTGGAGAGATTCAATGATGCTAGAAGACTATAGGATATATGGAGATGTTCTTGTCTTTGATACAACATACAGAACCAACAGATATAATCTTATATGTGCTCCATTTGTTAGCATAAATAACCACTGGCATAATTGTATGTTTGCTTGTGCTTTTGTTGGGGATGAAACGACAGATTCATTTGTGTGGTTACTACAAACCTTCTTCAAAGCTATGGAGGATAGAAAACCAACTTCAATATTCACTGACCAGGACCAAGCAATGGCAAATGCAATTCTGGAGGTAAAAGATTTATATTGACATCTTACAGATTTGAGCTCTAACAATAAAGTTTTCCTTTTTCACATAAAGTTACCCTTTTAGCTGCATAACGTTACCCTTTTTAGTGCATAAAGTAACCCTTTTAACAGCATAAAGTGACCCCTTTATTTTCAATGCAGGTGATTCCTAATACAAGGCATAGACTTTGTATATGGCATTTGGAGCAAAATGCCATAATCAGATTTGGAGCTCTTAAAAAAGACAAAGAATTCAAATTTGCATTCAACCAGTGCTTAAAGATGTGTGTGACAGAACAAGAATTCGAAGCAAAGTGGCAGGCAATGTTGCAGAAATACGAGTTGATAGAACACTCTTGGTACAAAAGAGTGTATGAGTTGAAAGACAAATGGTGTCCTGCCCTTAGTAGAGATTTCTTTTCAGCAGGGATCTTATCGTCACAAAGGAGTGAAAGCATTAATCATGCTATAGGATTCATAGCAAGTAAAGCAACTACTTTGACAGAATTTTATACCATATTTAAGAAGACAACTAATCGTTGGAGAAGCACAGAGAAATATGATGAGTTTACCTGTAGCAAGTCAATAGCATTGACTTCATTGCCTCTATCTGGAATGCTAAAGCATGCTGCACAGGTAAAAAGTTAACTGACAAGTACATAAATTACACCTAATATATGGCAATTTAAATGAAGCTACATGATTTTGATGTACAGGTTTTCACTTTATCACTCTTTAGAGATTTTGAAGAGGAGTTTGGATACTCTATGGTAACAACTGTTCAGATGTTAGGAAATAATGAAGAATGCCTACTTTATCAAGTAACACTAGAAGACAAGCCATGGTATGCACATCAAGTAAACTATATACATGAGAGCCAAACTGTATGGTGTACTTGCAAAAGTTTGAAGCATCTGGATGGTTATGTTATCATTGCATCAAAATTCTACATTTGCATTCAGTAACAAGAATACCAGACAAGTATGTTTCAAAAAGATGGACTAAGTTTGCAAAAACAGAGGCATGGGATAGGTTGAAGAATCAGGATCCTAAACAGCAATATATTCCATGGAGGCAAACAATAATGAGGAAATACTACAATCTAATCTTAAAAAGTCAAGAAAATAAAGAGACAAGAGCATTTATGGAAGAAAGCTTCAGAAACAGTCTTAAAATGGTGGAAGACTTACTTGCTAGTGCTGCTCAGAAAGAAAGTGCAGAAGCTGCTTCTAACATTCCTGATGTGGCAGACAACACTCAAAGCAATACTGACGTTTCTTCAGCATCGAGTACAAGCACAAGTGTACCAATAATACTTGATCCTAAAAGGGTTGTAACAAAAGGAAGAAGCAAGAGAGCAAAAGGAGGACTTGAAAAAACAAGAGAAAAAGAAAACCAGCACTGCCACCTCCAAATTCAGAATTTGGATCAAAGACACCTAACTTACGACTCTTTTAAGATCTTTTTTAGAACATTTTTTTTTTTCGAAATTAATATACCTTGTATTGTTAAACTATTTTTCTTTTGTTTTTTTACTCTATGACTAGTTTAATGAAAATGTGATTGACACTTTTATTAGCACATGTTTAATTATTGGAACACATCAACTTATGTTACCCTTTTAATGTATAAAAGTAACCCTTTTCATGCATAAAAGTGACCCTTTTCATGCATAAAAGTTATCCTTTCTATCCAATAAATCAACCTTTTCTTTTGTAATAGTTACCCTTATGTTAATAAAAGTTACCCCTTTTATCAATAAAAGTTACCCTTTTCATGCATAAAAGTTATACTATTTACCCACAAAAGTATACCTTATCATGTATAAACTTATTATTTCTACCCACAAAAGTAACCCTTTTTATGCTACAAAGTAAACCTTTTTATGCATGAAAGTGACCCTTTTCATGCATAAATGTTATCCTTTCTATCCACTAAATCAACCTTTTCTTTAATAATAGTTACCCTTTTCGTTAATAAAAGTTACCCCTTTTATCAATAAAAGTTACCCTTTTCATGCATAAAAGTTACCCTATCTACCCACAAAAGTATACCTTATCATGTATAAACTTATTATTTCTACCCACAAAACTAACCCTTTTTATGCTACAAAGTAACCCTTTTTATGCACAAAAGTGACCACATAAAAAACATACATAAGAATCTTTCAAATTACTTAATGTATTCACATACATCAGTTTTCCAAAAGAACCAAAAACTATCCACTAAGTTTAATTACATCATTTAACTTGATGTATATACACATACATTAAGTTTTTTCATTGTTCAAAAAATACTCCTAGACCTAATCATCTAATAACTAACAGTCATTTCACCCTTTAGAAGGAGTGTACTTGTCTGTCTTCTTTTTTGCCCTTTTTCCTTTGGGATTCTCTTCTTCTGCCTCTGCCTTTGCTTCTGCTTCAGCTGCCATTTTTCTTTCTTCATTTTCTTTCTTCTTCTTTGCAGCAATTGCATCCTTTCTTCTCATTTCAATTCCCTGGCAATAAGCAGGATCTTTCTTCTTCTCATTGAACTTCTCTAATTCTGACAACACATCATTCCTAGATTCATTCAAATCACACAACACCACTGTGGTACAGATCTCACCTCGCAGAAATTTTCTCCCAATAATCTCACAACAGAAAAAAAAACTTATCAATATGTAATTAATAAAAGCATTAGAAAGGGAAAAACTACAGACAAAATAGATGAATAATTACTGTTTTCAGTTCATTTAATTTGAACGATTCGCCAACAAAATGGAACATGTGATACATGACAAACACCCCACAGTCCAAATTGTCAACTTTTTCTTTTCTCCATTCCAACTCAACAATTTGAAACCCATAAGAAGGTAGCTGAGAACTCTTTGGATGATTTATTTTTCCGAGAAAAACACCCATTTGATCACACTGACATAAAATATAAAAGTTTAGAATAAAATAAAAAACAAAAAAAAAATTTAAATGGAAACAATAAGTAAACAGACACATAACAATGAATCAACATAAACATACCAAGTGTGAAGACAATTCTTTGGTATACTCAAGAGCATCATCACGCCAGGTAATATTGTCAAGATAATATACCACCTCTTTTGTATGATCAATAACAAACAAAATGTAGTGATTCTCAACAAGAACAGGAAAATAGATCTGAAACAGAAAAATTAAAACACTGATTTAGACAGAGTAACACAAAAACAGAACTTATTTAAAGTTTTAATAGTAATTTAGCATGAAATATACCAGTTCAGCATCCATAATATCACATGCAGGATTCTCATAGCTCACCCAACCTTCCCATAAATTGTGCAAATCATTAACAGCTTGTGAAATATCACCTTTGCCAATGTTTTCACAAACATGCAAGAATGCAAACTATTAAAAGTATGAGAACTTGTTTATATATTTATATAAAGTAAATGTGTTTAAATATAAAAAAAAAAATCAAATTACTTACACTTTGCCTCACACCAAAGAAGAATTTTCGAGGACCAGAATCACAACATGCCTTCTCATTCAAATACAGACAGTAGCAATCAATGATGCACCATCGAATTCTAAGTGGAGCTACCAGGGACACCATGTCTTCTCTTGGAATTAAAAAATTCATCCCAAAAGTAACAAGGTTCTCACTGCAACAATAAAAAAATAAGATAAGCATTAAAAAAAATAAAGGAAAAAAAACATATAAAAATATAATTATCATAAAAAATGACACTTAACTTCCTCATCATTGAATCATCCTTCAGTAAACAATAATCAAGAATTTCCAAATGTAATTTAGGCAAATTCTTGAAAATCCGAGCATTAGCCTTCAAAAACTGTGTAAGAAAAGGCACATCCACACCTACTGGCCCACAGTCGAGTGAGCACAAAGATTTATTGCCTCTGATGATACTTCTAGAAGCATTTTCTACAGAAGGCCCAGCATTACCATTGACATCATCCTCAGACCTATTCATCACAACACCTTTTCCATTACCATTGACATCATCCTTAGACCTATTCAAATTCAAATTTTGTGCATTTTCATCTCCAGGAACATCATTGTTATGACCTTCAGGTTCATAAAAATCACGAAGCAATTCATGAACAGACTTCATCTTATTACACTCCTCAATTAAACCATCTAAAAGCTTCAGGTAATGAGGATCAGAGAGTAGCTGTTGAGTTTGAGAAACTGCAATAGCATCATCAGAGGATAATGAAACAATTCTGCGAGAAGAAATCATATCACTCAAGGCTTGAAAACCCTGTGAATGAACCAACAATAATACATCCATATTTCTTTTAACCAAAAGAAATGTTTCATGAACAACCTGCAAACATATGAATTAATAAGAAACTATACAAATGTAACATATAAAAATAAAAAAACAAATGAAAATTCATGATATATGCATAAAGTTACCCTTTTAAATGCATAAGGTTACCCTTTATTATGCATAAAGTTACCCTTTTAAATGCATAAAGTAATCCTTCTAACTGAATATTTAGGGTAACTTTAGTGCACATAAAGGGTAACTTTAGTGCATATAAAGAGATAATAACTAAATATATATAAAAAAAAAGAACACTTACATCAGTTGAAATTTCTTTAATTTCATCATCAGTCATCACATTTTCCGGAAGCTCAAATGCAAGAATGCGGCTACTTCTACCACTTGTAGAAGCCCCCTGACCACAAGTTTGCTTAACAACAGGATCCCTAATTTGAGGCTGTGACATAGGATATGTAAGGGTATCCAATAGTCCCTGCCCAAAATCACCAGCTTTGATCTCCAAATTGATCCACTTCTTAATCTTCGCATCAGTCCAATGTTGAATCAAAGGAAGGGTACTACTTTCCTTTTCTCCTTGAAAATTTAATCGATGAAAATACATAATTTGCAAATCTAGCAAACAACCACTTACATTTTGAGCATTTTCATCATTCTTATACTTCACAACAACCTTTTTTAACTTTTTCAAAACATATGAACACCAATCAAATGTTTTGATTTCATCAACTTCTTCAACAGCCTTCAGCAAGTTCAATGAAACAGTCCTATTAGTAGTAGGAGCTAAGAAGCTAGACATAGCATGAAGCACAAAACATCTCTTAAATTCTTCCCCACCATCATCCAAATCAACCATCCTTGACTCCACTTTTGACAAATGCAGAGGTTGCTTCTCAGTAAGACCATAATCAAGTCTCCATGACTGAATGATACGTTTATCTACACTACCTTCTTCAGGATTCTTCTGAAGTTCAGGAACAACAATTTCACTCATAGGCAAGCCAAAGACATCGCATATATCATTTTTAGTAACTACAAACTCTTTACCAGCAGCAATAGTAAACATGCAGCTACCACCATTAAAGTGTTCAACAAGCCAATGTAGCATTTGACGATTCAAAGTTTTCAATTTCAGATGTAAACCACCAAAACCTATTTCTTCAACAGCTTTTTTTTTATTAGGACTAAACGTACTCAACATTAATTCCAATGTGTGTGGTCTGCACCTTGCAATCAAGGGTCTTTTTTCCCTAAATAATAATAATAAAAAAAATAAGTTAAACAATATCAGAATCAGAATCATGATATATATAATTAAAAAATGCAAAAAACAAAAAACATGTATAATTACACAACAGTATCAGAATCAGAATCAGAAACCACTTGCAATTTAGAATAAGTTACTGTTTTGGCCTTCCTAGATACAATTTTAGACTTCTTAGGAGCTGCTTTAACCTTCTAAGACTCTGCTTTGGCCTTCTTAGGAACAGTTTTAGCCTTCACAGTTTTAGACTCTGGTTTGTCCTTCTCAGGAATTGTCTTGCTCTTTTTATGTATTGTTTTTCCCTTAGCAGGCTCTTTACCCATTGCTTTTCCCCTTGAAGGCGATTTATAACGATATCCACCTATTGAACCACCTATATCTAATTAATACAGAGAATAACCATAAATTACAAATTCACAAATTACTCATGGGAAAATTCAGAATATATGCATAAAATCCTTTTAAATTCAAAAAGTGACCCTTTTAAATGAATAAAGTGACCCTTTTAACTGCATAAAGTCACCCTTAAAAATACAACAAGTAACCCTTTTAACTGAAAACGTAACCCTTTAACAAGCATAAAGTGACCCTTTTAAATATATAAAGTGACCCTTTTAACTGCATAAAGTCACCCTTTAAACTACAACAAGTAACCCTTTTAAATGAAAGTGTGACCCTTTTAACAGCATAAAGTGATCCTTTTCACAGCATAAAGTCATCCTTTTAACAGCATAAAGTAACCTTTGTCATGCATATAAATAACATATATATCTATTAATCACACACAATGCACAATGCACATATTATTGTTACTCAAACACATATACACAAACACAATGCAAATATGCATACTATTCTCATAATCTAACTAAAACCTAACATACAAAATTTGAAGAATAATAAGCAATGAATAAAACTTCTGAAAACTAAAATGCAAAATTTGTTTCACATATAACAACACCACAACACATGTATAACAAATTTTGAACCAATTATCACA